AAGCAGGATACCTGTGAGATATTTATATATTGTAGAATTTTGAATCCATTGAGTTGTGGTATCAGAAAATTTTGTAAAATATTCATGTCTCAATAGGACACGTATTGTACATATCTGTACTTGAGAATAAGGCCTCTATGAAGCTATTTTGGGAAAGAAATAAAATAGATTTTCATATTGTTTTAATTTTACATTAATTGAAGGTCGGTCACTGTGAGGAAGACAGGTCCATAAATCACTTGTGATTGGCAAGCAATTAACTTTGGTAAATTAATTGCATGGGCAATGGAGTACAGTCTGTCTTGACAGGTAAAAGCATTTTTTCATTAGAGTAACATTAATAAATGACTGGAACTTGCCTAAGATTCAGACTCGTACTTAATATTAGATCTACTCAGAAATTCCATCCTGCAACAAAGATTAACATTTAAAATTTCTGAATCAGAGCAAACAAGACATCTTGAAATTTCCAGCAGAATGAAAGTAATAGTTTTTATTTAGAATCACTGAAGAGTTTTAATGACTTTTTTCCCAGAATTTAGTAAAGTGAAATGGACTGATAACTTGATATCACAACACCCATAAAATACAAAAATACATCAACTAAATTTTACTTATAGTATTACATAGGTGAAAGAAAATAATAACTGATAGGGGTGTTTTTCTCCTTTTCTTTCAAATTGACATTTTAAAATAGTTTTTTTTCTGCATCTCAGGATGATGTGTACATTAAGTAAACTTGGAAATTAATATATTTGAGGAAATGCATCTCTTTTGCTCTAAAAAAATACTTAGTACCTTAAAGTGATAAAATCCTAATACGAACAAGGTGGTTTGTAGTTATTACATGCTATCTTGATGAAGGTAAACAGGTAGGAGCATAAGATTATTTTAAGCACCTAATACGTATAATGAGAGATTGTTCTAACTAAATGAAACAAACTTCCTTTCTGCCTCTACCCTAAGTTTTCCTTAGCGAAAAAAAAGTCCAACATGGAATTGTTTGGATTCAGTTGCTATCACTTATGCTAGGGATTTGGCTCTTAGTTAAGATATCCCAGGAGAAGCTCAGCTGCCCAAGAACATAAAATACTGAAGTGTCACTGCAAATTCTTGAATTATGTTAGTTCTGTCTTAATATAGATTATTTTAGCCCAGTTCAAAATCAGTGACATTTCTTCTGCAACTGTGCCTGTCCTCTTAACAACTGTGTGAAGGCAGATACCTTGCAGATTGGAAACCTGGAGATTTTCTGTCATGGGGCAGTTTTGGTCTTACAACTCTGGCTTTATAAATGAATGGAGGCCATTAAAGATACTGTTCCGTGGAAGTGTCCTCTATCTTAATCAGTAGAAAATAATCGTTTTGGAAAAAACTTTCACATCCCGGTCAAATTCCACTTTAGATAACAGCACCCTGCTGACAAAGTTCCTACAATTTCAGATGGACAGTAACTGCCTATTAACCTACTCTGTGTTATTGCATGGCATAGTTAAGCAGCTGTTGCATTTTGTTTGATGTAGATGTATTAAGTGAATCCCCCATGGTTTTGTCGTTTTGGTTTTTTTTACAAAACATTTTTGGAATGGTAGAAGTTGCAGAAGCATCAATGATTATTCTTTTTTTTTTCCTGTTAAGTCTAATTCCTGCAGCGATATACATGAAATAGTTTTTTTTTTAAAAAATAACACAGAAATGCAATTTTACTGCTAATCTTATTCTTAAGCCACTTAAATATGCAGATCTCTAAGATATCTGATATTAAATTTACCATAGGATAGGATCAATGCAGTTTTTAAAAATAAAGTGGTATTCAACAGATAAAAACATGACAGTTACAATCAAAGTCAGCTTATTACTTTTTAATGCTGTGCCAAGGTGGCATATTAAGGATTGTTTGTTCTCCATTTCTGCAGTTTAAACAGATTAGGGCAGATTTTTGGTATCTATTGAATTTGACATATCAGATTGATAAAAACAGCAGAGCAGAGAGCATCCAATACAGGAATCAGATTCACCACAAATCAAATCTGTAGTGTGAGCTTATTCCAAATTCAGAGGGTCCTTGTAGCAGTGAGGATTCTGTCAGCTATATAAGCATGACCTCATTCTCTATGCCTGCAGAGAAGATACAATTAAGTATAATCCTTCAGTTCTTGGATAATAGCATTTATTGTCATTATCTCTCTGTACCTCCTTTCCTAAAATCCAAGCATCTTTATAGTTCATATATTCTGGAGATGTTTAGCATAACAGGTATAATGAGCAAATTTTATTTCTGCTCTGCAATATATCTGGAGTACCTCATTAACATACAGGTACTTTAAATGAAGAGTAGTAATATGCTGCTTTAGTATGAGTTTAAACAAGAATTTGAAATTATGCAATTATTAACCTTCAGTGGTAATGTTATAAACTCCTTTGATAATTTACTGATAGATAGGTGAACCAAAGTACTGATTTGTTAAGTGACTTCTTTAGTATTCATTAGTAGTAATGCTGGAATAGGTGTGACCTGTTTACTTAAAAATGCAATTCTATTGATATCAGCAGAATTTTTGCTGTTGTCTTCAGTGGGGCAAAACTGCCTTAATGATCTAGATTTCTGCTGCTTCTAAATACTGTTTTCTCCTGTTTAAAATAGTAGGCTGAAGTAGAAGCCTGTATAGAAGGAATTGAGGCATTATTTCTATATAGCTATAATAAATCTGCACTATTTGGAATTAAAAAATGTGTGAAATAACTAACATTACTGCAGTGATACCTAGCTGTCCCTTCAGTTAACTATGCAATTGATCGCTATATGGAACAGAAGATCAATATCCTGCAAGTACAGAAGCCAGATATGGAGTTTCTTAATGGAGGTAAAACACCAGCATTCACTATGCATTTGACTTAAATTTAGAGATGGGTGGAGGAGAAGAGACAGGTATGTGAGGTACTCTGCACACATTGCTTTTTATAAAACTTCTCCCTCCCTTTTTTTTTCCTTAAGAAATTGAATTTCTACTTTGGAAATCGCATTCTGGCAGAGGGGAAGAGTTATCTTTTGTGGGAACACAAAATCTAAGATCATGGACAAAGTAATATTAACAGGAGACAGAGACATTGCAAGAAGCCAAGTTAAACATCTTAAATCAGCATTAAGGTAAATCGATTTTAAAAAATAGGGAAGGATAGCTAACACTCTTTCGTTTCTGCAATGGTACATGAAACCTAAAGCTGGCAATGGAATGTGGAAGGCTCCTTAGGGAGAAGATTACAGCATTGTGGGACTGGATCAACTTTTATGAAAATGGTTTCTGCAGGAACTAGATGAGAACTCTTTTCATCTCTCCTTTCTGAAGGAAGGAAAAACCTATGATAGTTCAGGGCTTTGATATATTAATGGTCCAAAGTAAAGTTCTGAAAAATGATAAAAACTGTACCTTAAGCTCCTGGAAAGATAACTTATTTCAAATTTACCACATTAACTTTTAATGCACACTTATTCCTCAGGCCTTTTCCTACAGTATTTTTATTGTATATTTAACATGTTACTGTAAGTAATAACAAGTCCTTAAAACTGGTAAAGTTAAACATGTCTTTCTTGCCACACCAGTACGCTCTTCAAGCGAAAAGTTTAGCTGCAAATTGTTCTTGCAAATCAAAACCTATTTTTTTTTCTAACTATAAAGACATTTTGAATGTAGAAGAAAGGAAATCACAATTTGCTGAGTAGATGTAGGCTGTATATAATCAGAAACATTATAAGGGACTGACATTTCCTTGTTCTATGGCTCCTCTCTGGTAATATTACTACTTTAGTGTGATTTGTAACAAAAGCAAAAAACATACTAAAGTATTTTTACTTTAAGAAGGCAGCACTAAAGAAACTAAAATGGAAATCTGTTGCTAAAGTATTCAGTGAAGACCAGACTGAACACTTTAGCCAAACAGCACAGATTACATGCTGTATGTTCAAGCCACTCCAAGTAAAAACAAGCCAAGTGTAGACATAAGGAGAGGCAAAGGAATGGGAGAAAAAAAAAAAAAACAAACCAACCCAAACCAGCAGCATATATAATAGGTGATTATGGTGTTGTTTGAAAAAGTTATGTGAAAATTTCAAGGACACAAATACTTGAAAGAGCCTCTATTACATGATTTGTAATTTTCTAATCAAATTCCTTCCTATTTAAATCAAATCCCTCCTATTTACAGTGTTAACTGTGACAGTGAGAAATCTGCCAGTGCCCAAATTAGTCTGGTATTTTCATGGTGTCAAATACTGTAATATGTACAACTGGCACAGAACAACATAGTTTCATGCATCAAGTGCCAGCAGCAACACCCCTCTAGCAGTGCAGTTTAATGGAGGCTATCAGACTAGAGCATACTGAAAACCTCTCTCTTCCTCTTTTTTTGGCAACCTTAAAAATATAAAGACACAGTCATTACACTGGAATTTACATGACCTATTTTTCCAAATGTATGATTAACACATTACCAGCATCACGCCCTTGAAGAAAAACGATTTTGTTTTCTGATACTTGTCCAGACACTGAACACATGAAGTAAGGAAACAGTTCCTGGGACATGCATGAAACTGTCACTTGACATGACACACACACACACAAATTCCAATCAAGGCAAATTTTCCTCCAGATTTTTTGACATGTACAATGGCAGTGTATTGAATAATTATTTATTTTGCTTTTGTGAGTCATGGCAAGAGACAGCCTTTTTGAAGCTTACGAGCACATCCCCTGGATGTATAGGCTAATATGTATTCTATTAGACATGTAAATGTTTGTCCTTGTTTATTTAAATATTGCACACTATGTTAATCTACAAGATAAGTACTGAAATGGCAAAGTCACAGGCAAACTAGCAATGCCTAAATCAATTTATTTCCCGAAACATTAAATATTTCGAATACAAATTTCAAACTTTTTAACCTTACTTTTATTGAGAAATATATACATTGAGAAATCCTAATTTGCCTCCTTGTTGTTGCACTACCAAATAGCCAGCACTTTGGGACTGTGATCCCTACCAGCTCTAGACAAATTACCCCAAGCAGCCCTCTGCAGTTTTCACAGGACAACTGTGCTGAGCTACCCACGCATACATAGTTCACCCTAAAACCAAGTATTATCTTTTGCAGTTGCTTATTCCTTATTTGCATTAAAATTAAAAGTTACATCTATAATGGAAACAGTTGGGTCCTGGTGGCAGAAGGAGGCTCTCCAGCAGGCCATTAAGGAACCAGAAGTGGGAGTACCTGTGGCTGAGACACAAAGCTGGCTGCGACTTCTTGGTCTTTCTTATGAAGCATCTAAGATTAGGTGCTAAATAAGCAGACTTTTAGTAGTTTTCTGAAGGCCACATCTTCCATGTTTCTGTCTTTGTTGTCCTTCCTTGGAAATGAAGGACAAATGAGGCTCAGGGATGCCACTTCCTTTGAATGGGATGAACCACACCATGAGGGATCTGCAGCTTGGGAGACAACCATACTCTCCTCGTGGAGAACCAAGCATAAGCATGTAAGCATGTTTTGTCTCAAACATTCTGACTGTGGTGACAGGAAAGTTGTGACTGTACAAGAGGGTCCTGAGGAGGTGGGGCAGTGCTGTGTGAAGCCAGCTTTCTTTGCTGCCTTGAGACTCATGCTCAGTGCGCCTGCATCAAGGCAGGGGTTGAGTCCCGCACTACAAGGCTCCTCACTACTAAGGTCACCACAGACCTCATTTCCTGGAGGGCTCTAAAGGGCTTAGTATTGCATGCATGAACAAGAGTGCAAAAATCTGTTTTATATAACACATATGCACCAGATAAACCGTAAAAGAAAGTGGATTGGTCTGTCTCTTCCTTCTCTCTTGCCCCCAATCCAGACCACCAGGGAACCTGAAATGTTGTTAGGATTGGGAGCATATTAAATTGTGAGCTTGTTAGCCAACACTTCTGAAACCTGCAGTTTGTTGTGTGAGTTGGGAGCTTGTTGAAGTTTGTTGTAAAAGTTAAGGGTTAGTCAACACTTTTGAGACTAAGTATCAGGCTATTTGCTGGAGTTAACATGATGATACACTATGACATAAAAGTTCCCTGACGCATGGACTGATGTGTTTGTTCAGCATCATGAGAAGTTATAAAGAACACCGAGCACCCTACCAAGTGGGTCATGACACCCCATTCTCTCCTTCCACACGTGTCCTGTTTCTGTTCCCTAGGTAGATCACAGTGGGATACCTCCAGCAAATGTCCTCCTGGACATTGTGCCCTGATGGGAGGTGGCAGATGGCAGGGAGGTATCACAGACAATGGGACACAGGAATCCATCTCCTGAGAACTGGATGTACAAGCACGAAGTAGTGGAGACCCTGCCTATAACCTTGCTGGGATAGGCAGGGAGACAGAGCCTATCCAACGAGGATGCCTACAGCAATATAATGAAGTCCTATTCTCAGACATCAGTAATGGGTAAACTTCATATGTAATTTTCCAACTATATTTTAAAGCCCGGTCAAATTTCTCAAATCAACAAACTTCTATAAAAACTACAGAAAAGTTCTCCCAGTAAAATCTTCTCATCTTGAGTGTTTTTTGGCTTTTTGCTTGTTTTGTTTTAAAAATATTTTTATTTTAGGAGCTCGGCCCCTAAAACCCTTTTGCACCTTGCGTATGAACATGTGTTGATAAATTCAAAACTCTTGTTCACTTAGTTCCTTTCCTGGTGACTTCACAATTTTGAAGTTCTAATTTAGGGCTACTTATCACCATTTCAGTCCATCAAGAGCACATATCTTTTCTTTCATCTTTCCATAATCTTCCACTGTCCATCTCCATCAAGTGTCCACTGCTTATTGTAGATAATGAAGCCCCCTCCTCCCAATCGGCTGTTCCTCTATTCTGTTGCAGCTGGTAACTTCCACAGCAATCACTGATACCTGACACTCCTCAGCTTCCTTAAAACTCATTCTCCCCCGCCGTTTACATGCCATTTCCGCTTCAGTATGAGCCTGCAGACCCACGGCGTCATTCCAGACTGTGGGACCTATCCTCAACGTTAAAAATTGCTTAGTAAAACTGGGCAGCAGCAGCAGCAGCAACTAAACACTCACGCTTTTTGTTACAAGTGTGTAACCTGTCACTACACGGCTGAGAGATGTCACCGCGCTAGCTGCCGGCGATCCCCCGCCGTTCCTGAACTCACCCCGGTAGTACCGTACGCAGCAGCGCGGCTCGCACCGCGCAGCTCTGCCGCGCGTCCCACGCAGGTTTCCAGCCGGCGGGCAGGCCGGAGCTGCCCTCAGCCCTCGGCCGGCCGGGGCGGCACCGCGGGCCCGGGCGGGCAAGGGAAGGGGCGGGGGCGGTGCGGCGCCTCCTCCCGGGCTGCGCTTCCCCGGGCGGCCGGGGAGCGGCGCTGTGTCCCCGCGCCGCACGCCCCGCCCGAGCCTCCCCTTCCCGCGGCCGCAGCCCCGCGCCCGCCGCCGTCGGCGGCAGCGAGTGAGCTGAGCTGAACTGAGCCGAGCCGAGAGAGGTAACGGCCGGCGGGGTCTGGCGGCGGGACCGGGGAGGAGCTTCGCCCTCCCCCCGCTCCCGATAGGGCGCGGAGTTGTTCGCCGCGGTCTCCCGGGGGCGGGAAGCGGGCGGCCCCCGCGACGCGTCCCGTATGGCGGCGGGCCCGGGGGACCCGTCCCTGGCGTCACTGCAGAGGAGTTGCCTGCGGGTGGGAGGGAAGGCAGCGGGGCGGGGGCGGCGCAGCTTGACCGCCCGCCCGCGGCCGCGCTGGGGGCGCGGGTCGTCGCTGGCGAGAAGCCGCCGCGGCAGTGTGGTCGCGGGCGGGCCCTTCTGCCGCCGGGCCGGGGCCGCCGCTCGGGCCTGCTCTCCCCGGGGCCTTCGTGTGGCCTCGACGCTCCCCGCCGCTGTGGTGAGCGCCGCGGTGCCGGCTGCCTGCCCCCATCCGCCCGTCACGGAATTGCCCGGCCTGCTGCAGCAATCGCACTGCTGCCCTGCCTGCAGCTGTGGCCGCTGAAGGAAGGGGTCAGGGCCAGGAAAGGCTTCGGCCGCCCGCCCCGCAGCAAGCAGTGCGGAGTGCTGGTGAACTTCGTCTCGCGAAGATAAATTCACCCCGTTCAAAACGAAATCAAGAGATTCTAAGTACTCTAAGGGCTTTTTCGTTCTTAATAGTCGAGAACCGCTGAGATGTGTTTATCGTGAGGTTGTTTGTGACCTTTGTAGCATAATATCTCTCCGTGCTTTGGACAGGATTTGCAGTTTTGCTGATCAAGTACCATAAGGTTACTGGGACTTTGGAGGAGCCTGGCTTCAAAAGCGAGGGAAAAAATACATATTTACCAATACTTTTCTTGACTTGTGTACTGAAAGACTGAGGACAGTGTGACTGTTAAGAGAACTTATATGCTGTTTTATACAGTGCATTGACAAAGTTTAGTCTGCATCTTAGTCTTGCAGGAGAGCCTTACAGTGAAAAGTTGAGAGTAACTCCTTTAGAACTGCAAAGAACTCCAAAAGTAGGGAAAGTTTCGGATAACCCATCTCTAGTTGTGATTTGAGAGCCAAAGGCTGAAATACAAATGGAGAAAATTACAGAAAGGCAGAAAAAGTTAACGTATGGTGTAAGTTTGTAAGGTTGAAAGTTTTAACCCTCATTCTTCCCAGCACAGTCACCCTGGCCGGGGCTGGGCTTGCTTGTGTCGCATGCTTGCAGCACCTTTGCAGTTTGGGTTCCTGTTGACTGTGTGAAGAACTGGTGAGGAAAATTTAACAGCATCAAAGCACATGTTAAAATCCTGTGTTTTGTTTTTCACTAAATACAGGCTTTTTCTTAATGTCTCGTGGTTTTTGTTTTGTTTTAGCTATGGAGTTGCTCTCTATTTCTTGTTGCCTTGTTTACACTTTTTTTAAATCCTCTTCCTCTGTTGTATTAACGTTAATGCATTTAATCTGGGGAAGCCACTGATATAGGGCGAATATAAGTGTTACATATGGGACTGGGGGATTTTAGGTCTGAGGTGTTGTGCTCTTGTCTGTGTTGTGCTCTTGTCTTTCACTCCTGCCTGTGTACTAATTTGTAATCTATGCTAAGTGGCTGACACAGTTGACTTACTATTTCAGGAATGTTTATAGAGCTAAATTTACATGCAGAAGAACTCCATTAAAAAATTATCCTTGAATTTTAAGAGGTTGCTGCCTTAGTTTTTTTCACAGAGGCTCTGCTGCTATAAAAATGCCAGTAGGGCATTAATTAGCTGTCAGTTATACTGCCTGTCAGGACTGAGTAGGGCTGAGTTTTGAATAGTCTCTGGAAGCATGATGTGGGCAAGTTGCAGCTCCAGGACTTCAGGAATTCTCTTTCCTCTTTCCAAATACCTCTTTGTGACTTGTAGTGGGGAGTTGGAATAAAATCTTAAGCAGTAGTACTGATGTCAGGTGTGGAATTGCAGAAGCACCAACATTACCACAAGATTCATCTTTGTTTCAGCCTGCAGTATTGCTTGGAGGCTGGGCATAAGTCACAGCTGGGCTGTGTGGAGTCTGCACTGGGGACAGCCCAGGTAGCACAAGAGCTCAGCATCCTGGAAGGTCTCCCCTCAAAGCCAAATTTGCCATGGAAAACCCTTTCTTCAGCATGCTTTAGAGGGCTGTGAGCTGTATGGGAGAAGGACCTAGAAGGCAAGCTATAAAAAGATCAAATACTCTAAACACTCCTAGAATTGGAAAGACATTTTGCAGATACTCTTACTATTTTCTGAAAAAAAAGAACTCCACAAACTCAAAACAACAACAACAACAACCAAAAACCAAAACAAACAAACAAACAAACAAAAAAAAAACCAAAAACCAAAACCCAAGCAACAACCTTCTCCACCTAAACAAGGAGAATAACTGGTTGTTTATTTTTTTTTTAGTTTGTCATGCTGCATAGCTGCACTCTTCATAATACTAAGGTCACTTGCATTTTTTTTTGCCAAAATCCAAGCTTTGTCCTTCAGTGCACAGTAAAAGGAGGTTCCTTTCAGGCAGACCTGATGGTGGTGAACACACTCCCACTTGCATTTTTTTTTGCCAAAATCCAAGCTTTGTCCTTCAGTGCACAGTAAAAGGAAGTTCCTTTCAGGCAGACCTGGTGATGGTGAACACACTCCCTGGTGGCTTTCCTTCTGCCACATCCCTGCTTTAATCATGTACATCCAGCAGATTTGACTGTCCCTTTCTGGGAGCTCTATGGAAGGGCTCTAGCAAGAGCAGCTTTGTGTTTTGGAAGGAAACTGCACAATGTGGAATTTCACAGCTTCTGTCACCTGTGAAACACTAGATGACTTCCACTGCAGGTTGACTTCTCATGACATGGCATGTGCAGAAGAGTTTTTGAGTCCTTCCTAAGAAACACGGCTCTGTTCTTCCTGCAGGCTGTGTTTGCTTCATAAGCATCTATTTCAGATGAGTTTGTGCTGGCTTTGTACTCTTGAACATTGTGTGTAGTTGGTTGAAGCTTTTGTTTTGTTCTCAAAGGAATACTTACTTTTTGCAGCAGCTTCAAAAGAATCTGTCTGACCTGGTACAGACTTAAGAATCACAAAAGTGGAAAAAAAATCCTAGCAGAATAGATTGCATAAAACAGGTATATGCAAGTTAGTTAGGAATTGGACCTATTTGTCAGTGTATTGCACTTTTGATAGAAATTGATATGACAAAGGAGGACCTTTGTTAAAACTGTTGAACACAACCTTGGAACAGCCAGTGAGAATAAAACGGAGTGGAAGAAGGAAAGAGTAGAAAAGATCCTTGACGTGTTTCCAGAAGCACTGTCTTTAGCTGGTATAGATTTTCACATTCAATAACAAAGTGGCCTATTCCCTTGCTGACTGCTGGCAGAAATGGCAGACAACAAAAGGCTCCCAGACTATCTCCTTTGCTACTCCTACACTTACTGAGAACAATCTGCTGGAAAGCATTTCCTGTTTTCCTGTTTTTTTCTTCCCTTTTTACCTTCTGGTTTTTAGAGGAGTGACTCAAACATTGTCCAAAAACCAAAAGTTTCTTATTTTATAAATAGTAGAAAGTAAAATGAATTGCTGTCAGTTTGATTTCATTGGCTGCTTTCCTCTTGTGCTTGTATTTAAATACTTAATAGCTTTTCTCCACTCAGAAAATCTCAAAGTGCAAATGAACAAATGTGGAAATTACCTTTGTTGAAAGGTTATTCTGTAAAATAATTGAATGGCTTTTCAGCTTTTCCTGGTATGGTTTTTCTGAAGCCACTTTGTTGAGGTGAATAACTTTCTATGTCTGCAACATGTCCTTTGTTTTGTAAATTTGGATTCTTATCAAGTTCATGCTTAAGTGAAGTGCTTTTTATGTTTTGATAGCAGTTTTTAATTATTTGGAGCAGTGGCATTAATTAGATGTAAAATGTGAGATGGGTATCTCCATTTCTTTTGAAGAATATTTAGGCCATCAACTTGTCGTGCTAGGAGTGTGACAGAATAGTTATTTCAAATTCTTTACCTAATTTAGGTGTACATGTTCAGTTTGGTTTTGTTGTTTTTTTGTGTATTTGGGGTTTTGGGTTTTTTTGTTGTTGATGTTTATTCTTTATTTTGTTTTGCATGGTGGTTTTATTGCTGTTTGGGTTTTTTTAAAGTTCGTTTGGAAGCACAGGACTTGTGAGGAGTAAGCTCCAGGCTAATATGTAAACTGGAATTGTCAGACTTTGAGTAGACCTAACATCTTTGGTATGTACACAATGAATTAGGAGTTGGCAGTCGCTTTGATGAACTGAAGTGCAGTTCTTTAGCATTAGTAGGACTTTACAAATAAGCTGTGTAAGTAACGTAATCTTATTTTGATGTGCCAGGTTTTATTTGCCTAATTTCCCACATGATGGAATGAATCTAGTCTTCACCAGCATGGATATGTAAGCCTTTTCAAGATGGTTAAGAACTGTGGCGAAGAACCAAGTGGAATGACAAGTGAGGAAACTTACATTTCTGGCTAATTCTTCTGCTAAGTTATTTCATTACCTGATGTAAGTCAGCTTTTTTAGGTAAGAAGTCATGTAAAAACTGAAATGAGGTAGATGTTCTTATCCTTAGGAAAACTTACAGTTGAGTTCAGCTTGAAATGTTGGGTACTTATTTAAGGTATTAGCTGTGCTTAATCTGCTCAAACCTATTAAGTGTGTTGCTCAGTGTTAAAACTGCTTAAAGTGAGCAAAATAAAAGTTTTAATTGGTATTCTGATTGTTCCTTTGTCAGGAGGAAGCAGCCACTTCTGCTGAGATCTGATTTGTATATTAGAAAGTATGGTTTCCTGACAGAAGAGTGCATTATAGTTTTTTACAGCAGATCATTATTAAATGTGCCGTCAGTGGTGGTTTTGGAAAGATGAGAAAGAACCCACTGTGGGACAACTCAGTGAAGCTAAAGATGTAAGTTCTGTGCCATTGCTACTATATATGTATTACAAATATAAATTTTTTTTCCAATTCCAGCTTGTAAGTATATATGTGCACGTGTTTATTTGTTTGTTTTTTTTTAAAGCCAGAAGGTTCACATAGACATAACATGATAAATATTTTATATAGTTTGAAATTAAGAAATTGTTCAAAAACTCCCAAAGTAAACCAGACTAAAAAGCTGTCACCACCACCACCCAACCAAAATCAAGCCAACCTCTTTTATATGTGTGGAGTTAACTACCTTAAAGTATTCAGAGAAATTTAAAAATATATACAAATTGGGCAGCTTTGCTCATATTGTTTGACTCTTGTGTCAAGGCTAGAGGCTTCCACTGTCCTTAAAAATGGAGTAATACTGATAAGTGATTTGCCATTTGAACTTGGTCACAGTTAAACCAGAAGTGTCTCATGCTGCTTAATGCTTTTAGTAAACATTCAGTAGTGGTTAGAATACTTCCCTGATCTGTTTGCTTAAAAAATAAGGCCTTGTAATGACCTTGAAAAACTTTATTTACTGCTGATGGTTTCCTAATACAATCTCTTTGATTCAAAGAGTTTTGTGAATACTTTTGGTATCAACTATAACTCAGAAAATGGCTTAGTATTTTTCTTCCTCTATTCTATATGTTCTGCCTTGAATACTACCTGTTTGCTTCTTTCCCTATACTTGAGATGTTATGTGTAATAGGAATTGCAGTCAGAGCATGTTTTTCAGCAGCATGTTCTTACAGGATTGATCATTGATCATCATAAGAGAACTGGATTCAAACACTGACAACACTTGAAGTGTTCTGCTTAAAGTCTGTTGCTGCACAGCAATGTCAAGGTGCATGAATAACTTTGTCCCTTGCAGGATCTTTCCTTTTTCAGTCGAACCTTTTTGACTGAGGAACAATCAGTCAAACATTTTTTATCACTGGCAACATTGTTTAAGTTAGGACAACCTTTTCTGCTAGCTAGAGGATGAATCAATTAGATGCAGAAGTTTGAAAAACAAGATCTGCTGTAACTTTTTTTGTGATGGTCGAATACTTCTTCCTGACAGTGAGGAATGGTGTAAGGATGGCTAATCAGAGAGGTGAACCAAAAAAAGTGTGATGAAAAAAACCTGCTGCAGTTGTTCCAGCTCAATCTGGCCAATTAGTATTTTCCACTAAGGTTTCTCCTTTATTTTTTGGAGGTCTGCTTCTTCCTTTTCCTGTGTATTGTTTTCCTTGTCATGCATTTCAGACTTCCTTGACCTTGTTATTGTTTCAGACATCCGTCTGGTTTGTCTGTCTAAAGTCCATACACACATAATAGAAACTCCTGGGATCCTAGGAGTTGTCTGTTTTGCTTTTGTAAATTTCTATGACTTGAGAACATTACAGTCAACATTCTGCTAAATGTTCAATATCTTGGTTGTTGGAAGAGATTGATAGAGGATAATGGAGAAGTGATATTTGAATCTGGCACTAATCTGGCATTGTCATTTGTGTGCCAGTGATCCAGGGAGGGAAGGACTAAGTGAAAATGGAAGTTTTGCCACTGGTTTATCTGCACATGTTGAATTGATCATCACTGGTAAAATACCTGTTTTATATAAAAACATTATTTTCTGGCCTACTCAGTAACTGTTATTGGTAAATAGTGACTCTGCTGTAATTTCAGATTTCTGAGCCTTACTAAGGTTTGCTTCTGAATAATTATTTGTAAAAAATGTACATTAGTTTATTATGATCGTCGCTCAACAGAGCTTTGACACCGATATAAAGAAAAAAGGGAGATGATGCTGTACTCCATCTTGTATTTCAATTAATAAATGCTTTCCTTTTCTGTACAAGATTAATGCAGTAATTGCAGATGCTGTAATGTAACAAGATGTGTTCAAAGCCTTCACAACAGAAGGGGGTGGACAGGAGCCTCTTCTTGCCTAATGGTTTATACAGTTGTAAAGTGTTTTTAACAATTAAAAAAAACTCCACACAGGCTGAGGCACTTCTGGATGTCACTTGGTTCAACCCAGCAATCAGGTCAAGCAGGAGTGCATGCAGCACGTTACCCAAGCCCTCAAACAGCCTGGTTCAAGCAGGGCTGTTTGGCCAGGTTTTGAGAATATGTGGGGCTGCAGACTCCGCAACCTCTCTGCCAGTGTTTGGCTACCTGGCATTGCAAACTTTACTTTTCTAGATTTCTCTTCTAAGCTACATTTTATTTGTTCTCTCTTCCAAATGCAGATTCAGTGTCTAGTAAACTGGAAAATAAGTTTAACTGCTCTAGTTGTCATAAATAAGGAATAAATAAAAAATGAGGAAACTGCTCTAGTTGTCAGCCATTTGAAAAGAAATAAGGCAGACATCCAGAAAATGCTTTCCTGTATGCTTATGTATATTTTTGATCTTTTAGCTGCTTAAATAGAAGACATGGAAATGTAATTATGTATTTTATTAATTTTTTTTTAATTTTTTTTTTTTTTAATTCCAGGTCTGCAATTTCTGTTTGGTCTATTCCAGTTAGGAGAGCTTTTTTTGTGATTTTTAAGCTTGGTGCTGTCAGCCCCGTGTGAACAAACCAGAACAAAAAGCACGCCGGGTATTAGAAAACAAAATGCCACGGAAGAGGAAAACTGGTGGGAGTCCTTCTCAGAGGAATGGCAATGCTGACAGAACTGCTGTTGCTGTATCCCAGGGGGACCCAAGCCACTTAGTGGCACAAGCAATGCATTATGTCAATAAGGAAGAGCTCTTCAACAGCATGTCAGAGATGTTTTCTGACCTAGATCCTAGTGTGGTTTATATGGTTCTGTCTGAATGTGATTTTAAAGGTAAATAATATGCAGCTGACACTACAGTTTTGTTTCATGTGCAGATGGCTCTTAACTGGTGCAAGTCAAGGAAAGTTGGTGTGGGTGTTGCAATCATATTTGTGAGTTTTAACTTTTTATAAGTAGGTGAGTAATAATGTTTTGAAATTTTACAACCATGTAAGATTCTCCAAATTTAACGATGTTTCTGTGAGCCTGATAAATGGAGCAGTGTGCTCCATAACTGAAGGTACTGTTTAAAGTTGATTGTTGTGTGACACAGAGCAGGCAGTAGTGGAGTTGTGAGGATAATCTAGTTTTTCCAGTTAAGTTTCTGTGCCATATCTGCAAGATGCCTAAGCTGTTTCTGCAGGAGGGGTATTTTATGTTCTGGATCACAATTTTTTGATGGTATGCCATATGTGGTCCTAGCAGCATTTGCTTTTCCTTAAATACTTGAACTGAGCTTTTGTTTTACATTTATTTTGTATTGTCATCTTGTCGTGTCCACTGAGGATTAGTTTCTGCAGGATAAATTCGGTTTGTCATGTTTAGTTCTCTGCAGCCTGGCTAGAACTAAAGCAAGGAACTGGTTTCTTTCCCTACACTCTGCCGACCTACATACCACTCTCCTGGCATACTATTTTCATATTTATGCCCAGTCCCTCCCATTCTTCTGTGGTTTTAAAATTCCTGTGTATGCAAGGTCATTTGCCTATGATAAAAGTATTGCGTGAGGTGCAGGGAAATAAGCCATATATGGAGCATTTTAATCAATTTGTATTCATATGAGCAGATGTGATTAACTGAGATTATTGTAAGAATATGTGCTAAGAAAGCAGATTTTGGCTTTTTTTTATATGTATGAAAGCTAGGTAAGCATTAAAAGGACATTTTTATTACCTAAATTGTACAGAGTGTATAATTTCAGAACAAATGGGAGAGTGCTGTTAAAATTTTTGTTAATTTTAAAATGGAATTTGATGGAATTACTGATTCATGCTTCTAACTCTTAATAAGATTCAACCTTTACCATAATAACAGTTTTATCTAAAGCTTATTTGGAGAATGCAGTAAACATGTAGAGTTCATAGCCTTGTACTGTAAACAGTAGTTTAAAAATGGAAAGGTTAGCATATTTGAGTGCTAATAAGTTGTTTTCATACAGTAGAGAAGCTGGAAGGATGAATAAGATTTTGTTTAGTGAGCGCAGACAGAGTCATACTTAAATGAGCTTAAAGTTTTTGCTACACTGTCTTTCAGGAAAACAGAAGCTTAGCTTTAGGGCTCAGATGTTTGTGCCTGCTTTTAATTTTGTCCATGTTGATCACTGGCACCCTCTACTCAATTTAATGGCTTTACAAAGAATTAATGCAGATACTGGATTTTTCAGGCTGTATTAGGTAGGACATTTTAAAGTGGACCATAGTGAACATACTTTGCATACTTCTATCTCTTTCATCCTTTGTAGAGTTTTTAGTTCATTTTACACTATTTCATCTATATGAGATAGATTAGAAATAAGTATCCATTTAAACATCCAGCTCTGATACTTTTCCAGTTGAAATTTGTAATTTTTAGACAGTATTTCCATAGTAATTTTTAAGTTTATTAGGTTGTTATTTTTCAATATGTCCAATTCTGCCTTTACTTCTAATGAGAAATGGATCAAGGGAGTTTCAGAAGCTATGTTTAAAGGTGAATTGCTGAACGTTCTTTTGATTGTTTCTTTAGTTGTAATAAATGCTTCCTCAAGTAAAAAAATGCATGTGCATCAGCTTGGGTTGGTTTAATTGACCAGGCTTTATTCTGTTTATCTTGCCCAACAGTAGAAAACGCTATGGATCATCTTCTAGAGCTGTCCACCCATGCCAAAGGAGCAGCATCTTCAAAAACCTTGGGTTTTGATTTAGCAGCATCATCATTACCTCATGTTAATCAGCAAAGATCTATTGCAAATGAAAGAATGGGGGAAGGTACTGCAGCACATAGTTATTCTGGAGCAGCAGTAGACAAGGTCCTGTCACCTGGTGTGCAGCTGACTGGAGAACTGGATTCCCTACTAGAAAATGCCTTTCAGAATTACAGCTTGAGTGAGGAATCATTGCCTAATTCTGCAAATGACCAAATAGTACATGAGCACCCTGTGGAACAGGATGGTTTTACCAAATTTCCTGAGTGGGAAAAACCTGATTCTGTTTGCGATGTCCTACTTTTTCCACAGCAAGCAGAGACAAATAATGAGGTTTTAGAAAACTTCTGCTGTTCCCAGCCACCAGTGAGTCAGCTGAGCATCCAGACAAGCCCACCATCTGCATCAGACAGTTTTGCAGAGATACTGGAAGATTCTGATATGTTGGAAACACATGTTCAACATGATGTGGCTTCAGAAGTATATAAACTATCAAATGGAGAAATATCATGTGAAAATTCTGATCAGACACAAGATACTGTTTTGGATCAAAGTAGTGTGACTGCTGCTTCTTGTGGGTCCTCCCAAAGACCTATGGCACTTGGAGTAGCTGTTTCTGGAGATCCTAATTCAAGGTGCCTGGAACAACAGGAAGATGCAGTGATTGCCTTTAGCAGCTACCAGAGTGCTTCTCTTCCAGAGGCGTATATCTCTCCTGAAACATCCAGTTTCAAAACACAAAAACCCGCAGATATTCAACAAATTCAGCAGGGTTATAACTTAAATTTTCCTACACCATCAGGTCAATCTCAACAACACTGGAATATCATGGCTCCTGTGTTTTATCCATCCAGTAGAAGTCACAGCTTTGTAATTCCTGTGGCTCCCAGTCCAGGGCAGTGGAGACCTGTTTCTGACTGTAGAGCTTCGGAAAAGGGACTTTTTCTTTCCTCCCCAGTGGTTTCAAATGCCTGGGATGGCAGCTCTTCTCTGAAGGTATGGGGAAATCAAGATAGAAACTCAAAATTGAGCCTCCCGCAAGCACAGCAACCACGTGTTTGTCACATGATGAGAAAAAAGATGCAACTAATAGGTCAAGTACTTGTTCTTCTCAGAGGTGTTCCAGGATCAGGAAAATCATATTTGGCAAGGTAGAACATTTATATTGTGAGCTTAAAAAAAAAATTGCTTAATCGTGTACAGGATTTGGCATAGGCAGAGACAGTTTTCTGACACTTGTAAATAGTAATGTGTAAACCCTAATTGCAAGCTACACAGTACATGCAGTGTGATGGGTAATAATAATTGCTGAGAGCAGAGCTGCTTGCAGGTCCTTTCCTAGTGGAAATTGACACAGGAATGATGAGCTTTAACTTCTGTCACTGAACAAAGGAGTTTGTCAGCAGAGCATCATTGCTGTAATGTTAGGTCTGCTGTATTCTTTCAGTCCCAGTTTATTTCGAGTGTTTTCTTGGAATTACACTGATGGAATATGCCAGCTCTTTACAGGCAGAAATTCCCCTTCCACTGTGTGACTTTATGGTTTAAGTAGTATATGTGAAGCTTCTTGGGGGGAATTTTTGATTCCTTTTCTTACTCTCTGAAAGCCTAGATTGACCTAAGACTCCTTTTGACTGACACCTGAAACATGTGATGCAATTAAGACAGGATATTTGTCAGTGTGAAAGTATGTCACTACGTGTAGATGGAAAAATACCTCCCTTGATGTTTTGAAATGAGAGACTTGTAGGGAACTATATCAGCTCTTTCCCCTAGATAATCCTTAGCCTTTGGAAAAAACAAAGGAGGGAAGTTATTATAGATCGTATTTGCTTGGAGGTTGAATTTTTTTTCCTCTTACCTACATTTGCTGCTTCCATTCCAAGTAATTTTAGTTTTGTGTAAGAAACTAAAAAAAAGTATGTATGGTAGTAGACATTGGAGCTTGGAGGAGAAGGGGAAAAAGCTGTTTAATTCTTGATCTTTCACAGGAATTTGCTTGAGGATAATCCAGGTGGAATCATTCTTAGTACTGATGATTACTTTTACAAACATGGACAATACCATTATGATCCTGATTGCTTAGGGGCAGCACATGACTGGAACAGGAAACGAGGTGAGATATAAATAAGGGATTAGCTTGCTCACTTACAGTTCAGTGCTTGTGTGCTATTTAAAAATCTGCCTGGCTTGTTACGTGACAAGCATTTATCCCATCATAGAGGTATTTTTTAATATGTGTGGATAAAGAATATGAGCACAAACTCAGAAGTCATCTGTTCATTGTGTGTTTTGCAATTAGAAATGCCACTGTCTTTGTCAAGAGTATGTTTTGTCCTCAGATTTTGTCATGGTATGTATTTTGGGTAGTGTCCCATTTCTAGAGTGGTTACTTACACCATCTCCCAGAAATATTTCTTCTGAGATGATGCATAATATGTATATGCAGTAAGTAATGAGGATACAAATAATACACAGATAATCTTCCTGCTCTTAGTTATCCTTTTTTTCCTCTTGTAGACAAAATCATTGTCAAATTTAAACAAAATTATAAGAGCAAGGCAGAATAAATTATTTTTCCCCATTTCATAATTGGGTGGGATTTTTCTGACAGTGATCTGTGCTAAGCTTACCATAGAAGAATTGTTTTAAAGCTTTTACATGCTAAATTTGAATCATGATCCCTTTTCTGTTGTCAAATTTCTACTAGTGGAGAAATGAAACAAATGTGGGCTTCAGCAAGAACTGTGATTGTTCAGACACATTGTAACATGGCTACAGAAACATGGTGTTGTGTCTCAAAGTTAGTGGTTCTATACATTTCATTAATGTGTACTTAAATTACAATAATTCTTTTGGTTTTTCATATTTTATACAGTTTACAGAGTGGACTAATCTTAAGACTGTTTAAAGCCAAGAATTTTGTATGCAACAAAGAAGTCCACTTTAAGGTGATCATGTAGTTTTTTTAGTTTAATTTACTGATTGATTAGTCATCTTGATGCATTTTACATCTGCATTTTCATTCCTTGATTATCATACATACGTTAATTCAAAAGCTAATGCCATATCTCAATAGCTTTACGTGTGAGGGGGGATTTCTGAAATAAAGGGCCTTGAAACAGATCAAGCTATGGCAAAGTACTTTACACAGTGGTTAATCATTATGGATTAACTAGGTAAATATAGAACAAATTTAGAGAATGAGTATTAATATGTTCACCCTACTGTAATGAAATTAACTGTATTACATTGTTTTGTACATGTGTATTTTTCAGCTAAAGAAGCATTTGAAATGCGAATCTCTCCTATAATAATTGACAACACAAACATACAAGCATGGGAGATGAAGCCTTATGTTGCTTTGGTTAGTATTACAATTTGACCAATGTGAAAACAGATTATTGTCTAGCATGGCAACAACGTGTTTTAAAATGGGCGTGTTTTTCACAGTCTAGCTGCTATTCCACAAGGAAGTCTGGGGTAAAAAAGCCAGTGTTGCATGGAGTCATATTGCCCAGTGTCATGTTGTGTTGATGTGACTCAGTGTCATGTGGTATATGAGCATTAACCCGGCCTAGTTACCAAAAGCCAAAGCTAAGTGCTTTGTTCTTGGGGCCAAAAGCAAATGTTGTTGAAGAAACTGGATTTTGTTCCTCTTTTATATGATCAGGAAAATTAGAAGCTGCTTTAAAAATGCAATCAACACTAATGGCCAAGTGATGTGTGAGGCTCTGTAAAACTTGAAAACTCAGTTCCATCCTAAATATAGCATAGAGGCAGATACCATTTGGAGGCTAGAGTCACCAAATATTTCTAGCTTGCTTGAAGTTACGCAGATTTACTTAATACTTTTTGTTGAAGTGATCCCACCTTTTCACGTAATAGTTTTTAAATGGACATCAACACTTTTAGAGTCTAGAGTGTATTTTGCTATTGATCATTGACCATATTGGTTGGTATTATTATAACAGCATTATTTTATGAAATTGATTCTGATTAACTGAAATAATACACTGTAAAAAGTATTATAATGTAGATCTGGGATTTCTCCTTGCCTGTTACAGAGACACAGCAGAGAGTGTAGTACATATAATTGACAGCTTTTGAGCAGATACCTTACATATGCTGGATGTGCTAATAGATTAATGAACAGTGAGACTTTGACACACACAATTTTTGCTAATAAAATGTTTATTTTATTATCCTTGCATTTATTAGCAACTGTCAGATTAGCAGTTCTTTTGTAATTTATGTCTTTCATTTTGCTGTATACTGAAATCAAGATGCAACAAGAGTTCTTGCAGAAGTGCAGAGTTTGGTACAGTGATAAGAATTTTTTCTGAGAACAAGAATGGGGAGAAACAGTACAGTACTTGCAGTGTTTCCCCTGATTAGACTTCAGGCTTCTTTTCTGTCATTATGAGACTGAACTATATAGAAACCATTTACTTGCAGCTTGGTCAAGTTTCCCATGTGGCAGGAAGGCTGTCCACAATAACTGTGCTAATGTAACTGAATTGCTTGTTTTGGAGCTGGTTTGCATCTGGTCAGCTCTGAATGTAAGCTGTGCACTTTACTCTGTCTTGGAGAGGCTGTGTAGACATGTGCATGCTGTATCTTGAAAGAGATGATGTTTTGCAGTATTGTCTCAGAGAAGACATGTCATGGCACACATTTAATTTTATGGTAAGAGATACATATACATTTTTTAAAAAATTTCAGTTTACGTAAACCAAAGTGCAACACTGAACAAAAATGTTTATTCCAAATGTTTTATTCCATAAGTATCAAAAATACAAAAATCAGCTTTGAAGAAGCAAGCTATGCGTATAGTGTGCTTTGTCATAGAAATAAGAAATGGGTGATGTGGCATGTTCTGTTCTATATTATATCTCTTTTATTCAGGCTCAGCAGTTCAAATACAAAGTAATGTTCCGAGAACCAGACACTTGGTGGAAGTTTAAACCAAAAGAACTTGAAAGGTAAGAATGTAAAGGAAAATAACATACTGGACATTACAAGCTATTATTTTTAAAAAGGTGTCATTTAGTACAATGGCTAGTGAAGTAGCAAGGTATCTGTCAAAATTTTTGTGATAATAAGTAGCTTTTTTATGATATTTTGTGGACTTTTTAATGTATTATGTATATATTATAAGATCTGTCACTTCAGTTACATGCAAAAGGTACTGTTAGCAGTAGACACTGTGGTGTTTTCACTATTAGAGTTCTTTGCATGGAAGGTATAGTGACTGTTCCTTTGGGTCACTGAGGTTGCAGAAATCACATCAGCTTGGGGCTGTTTTTTGCATCCTGGTTTGTTGCTTTAGTTGAAGTGTTTCTGCTGTCATTGAATTTAGGGCAGTCAGCACCTTGTGGCCTAAGAGGGACAGACCTCTGTGCATCTTCATTGTTGCTTACCTCTTCTTTAGCAGGACCTTCTATTACTTAGGGCTGAAGTCAGCAAGACATAAACCCTATGTATGTGAATAATAAAACATAAGAAAACATAATGAGAAAATTGGCTAGATGCCAGGTTCAAATGTTGTGTATCCAAAGTGAAGCCTTATGTCCCTCTGGGGAGGGACTACAGCTCTTTGATGTCCTTTTTATGACCTGGATGCTGGGACAGAGTGCACTCTTAGCAAATTCGCAGGTGATATGGGACTGAGCAAGAGTAGTTTATTCAGCCTTAAGCACAGATCATTGAAGAAGAATAATTTTGTTGTTTTTAGCCACCTTCTGAAACATTATAAAGACTAAAAAGTATTGTGCAGGGATAGGACAAGCTAAACATCATCAAATTGGAGCTCAAGATTACCTAAAAGAAAAAAGCCCAACATTTACTTTAAAGGTGGTTAGCTACTGAAAGAGTTCGCCCATAGAGTTCATAGACTTTCAGTCATTTTGGATATTCAAAATCAGACAAAAAGCTCTGGGCAACCTGATCTAGCTGTACTTCCTCTGAGTAGGAGACTGAACTTCCAGAGGTCCCTTCCAACAGAGGTTATTTTGTGATTTTTGTTATTTTGTGATTGTCATCTGAATTTGCATGTTTAGCTGAAGGTTGGCTGCTTTTTAAGTGAGGTACGGTAGATTATTTTCCTTCTTAAAATAAAAGTTAAACTTTTTCTTCTATTTTTTCAATTTCTCTTTTACTATCCTTGGCAAGATTCACTTGTTCTAGGTGGCACTGCAGCAGAACACAGTGCTAATTGGTGCTTAACAGAGTTAGGAAAATTTCTGACCAAAGGGTGCCCGGAATAATAGGTGAATAGGTTTTCTTCAAGGATCAGTGAGTTCTTCATTTAGCAAAACCAAGGAAAGACGACTGAATTCAGAAGTCTTCTGTACCTCACGTCAGGATCTGATATAGTGTGTTTTCTGAAACTTATTTGAGGAAGATGCATTATTAGAACAGTTTTAGGTTTAGTGTTATGCAAAGCATCCAACTGCAGTACAGAGACCACGTGGGGTGGAGAAGTGGAGCAGCAATCTGTCTGATGTGTCCTGTTTGCAACACCTTAGTGCACTGATATGGACAGAATTGCTGTTTCACAGCTTTTCATCTGGCTCCCTGAATTCTTTGGTTAGTCTTGCTGTAAATTTATTAAATTATTCTCCTTTGTCATTGTAATACAGAAATCTAAAATGGCTTTATTTTTGTTGGTTTTCAATTCATAGGAGAAACATTCATGGTGTATCTAAAGAAAAGATAAAAAGAATGCTGGAACGGTATGAACGCTGCCTTACTGTTAGATCAATATTGGACTCTTCAGTTCCAGACAAATCAGAAGTTGCTGGTTGGAGTGAAGATCCTTGTCAGGAGGAAAGCGAGAGGTTAGATTCTTTCACTAGCTTTGTAGCATCAAATAAAAGGCTGAAAATGTAGCCTTTTAGCTTCTTAGCAACAAAACCTGGGTAATAGTGTCAAACGGTGAATGCATTAAAAAAGACAGTTAAGTAACACAAAAAATCCCTACATAGTTTTTTAATTTTTAAGAATTTCAGGATTTTCAGAAATGAGTAGTCAAGGGATCTAGTCAACTTTCCAATGTTTTGAAAGCCTCCCATTATGGCAGTGTTACTTTTCAAGAAGCCAATCTTGACTGACTTTCTGTTATCTTAGAAATGTGTTGTTGGATGTATGCTATAGATACAAAGAACTTAAAATCTAAAAATTGTTTTTTAGAAGAATGTTGTCCCAAATAAGAACAAATTACTATTTCCAAGTTTGTATGTTGATATTAGATTATATCTTCGTGGTAGAAGGTGGATTCTTTGTGCAGTAGTAACAGGTTGTACTTGCTCTTCAGTATACTTGATTTAGATTTGCCTAGGTTTCTGTTGGCTGTATCCAGGACTGTTCTGTAGTTGCCAGTCTGGATCGTGCTGTTTGTTATAGTGCACAGTGTCCTGCTCAGGAATGGCACTCCCCAGTTCAGTGCCCCCACTGAGACTCCCAAACCATGCACTGCTCATTTGCTCCCCCTTCCTTTTCCTGTTCCTGCTCCAGCAGCCACGTGAGGTGGTATAGAATAATCTCTGTGTTCTGGCCAAAATTAGGACACATAGGAAATCAGATTTGATTTCAGTTATTATTTCACTAGGGTTTTGCATGTGTGATGTATTTGAAATGATAATTAATGGAATGTAGTTGATTGTGAAAAATGGTTTGACAAGAAAAAGCACATTCTCTCCTAGTTAGACTGCCTTTAGGATTAAGCCAACAGGAGAGAGCAACAGTCATTAGATAAAAGTATACATACCAGACTTGCTGATCTGAATGTCTGTCAGCAAAGTGCTTTGATACAAAACTGAATGCTGGAAATGGGATGGGGGGAGATTGACTCCTGAGCAAGTGTTCTTAGCCCTGTGCTCTAGTAAGAAGGGGATACTTACTAAAGAAAGTTTGTCTTTTCTTAGCTCCTTTTTTGTTGAAGAGTGTTGGAGTTACAGCTAGTTATAAATTTGGTTTGCTTCCACTAGAAGTCTAACTAGGTTAAACTCTCTGTCTCTAACTGGAGTTAAAAATGTGGACAAATGCTTTAAGAAGGTTTGAAATGGATTTATATTTCATTCCAATTTGTCTTTCAGAAAGAGAGAAGCACATTCTGACGTAAAGGAAGAAGGTTTTGCTTCTGAGGTGGAGCCTATTGAATTAGCTGAAGCTGATAAAACTTCTCCCGGTATTTCTCTAACATTAGAAAGTAGTTGTGACCCTGAGCATTTTCATAAAGAGGAAAAAGAAATTGAAAATATGTCAGTGGAACACAATTCTGAGAACAGCACTGTTCAAGATGACTTGGAAATTAATTTATCGGATTGCACCGAAAGAGAGCTGCCCTTGGAGAAGAAAGAAGAAAAGGAATTAAAAACAGAAGAAAATACTGAAGCAGAAATGGATGAGGTTGATGTGATTCCAGCTGAAGAGGCTGTGAACTTACACACAGGTGGAGCTGAGGAACACAGTGATGACAACAGTCTCAAAGTTCAAACTGTAGTTGAACAATTGGGCAAAATATGTATGGAACCAAAATCAACACAAATGAGTAACACGGTGGAACCAAGCAGTTTGGCTTTTGACGCATCAGGAAAACCAGAACTACTAAACTTTCTGGGTGACTGGCCCATGGAACAAACAATGGGACAGAGAGTCAAAAGATCTAGAAGATTAGAAAAATCTCCTCTGAAGAGTGATAAGGAAGGTGAAACTCCCAGTCAGCAGCATTCTGAGATAGGCAAAGAGCAGGGCCTGCCTGAGACATGTACTGTTGAGAAAGGACACGAGGACGAAAAGCTACCCTGTAGCTGTTACTCTGTTAGTTCAGATAAAGTTACACCAGAATTGCAAATGTTAGGATATTGGCCTGTCTCAGCCTCATTAGAACAGAGACAGCAAAAGTCAAGGAGAATGAGAAAGACAAATTTAAATCAGTGTGATGAAGATAGAAATATTGAAGATGACACTAATATGAATGCTCTTGAAACTGTACATGTAATTCATGGGTCACCTGTGAACACTGAAGAACAACCAGATACAAGGAGTTTGCCTGTGCACCAAGATGAAATAGTAGCTAGTGAAACAGTAAGTGAGGAAAAATCCCAGGAAAGTAAGAGAGTAAGGAAACATCACAAATTAGCCCTCACTTTTACAAACAGCAGCGTGCCACATCCCAGAGAAGAGGACCATTTGTCTAAACTTAACCTGGCAGAAGAGAAACAGAAAACAAACTCATGTAGGCAAAAAAGTAGCCATTCACAGACTGAATCACAGGACTTTGCTCTCCTGTGGAGATTAGAAAAGAAAATACTTTTTCCTGAGATGACAAAAATATTGCATGGCAGGTTAGATGGCTTCAAACCCAAAGACATAGGTAATGTCTCAGATTCTCAGGAAAAAATACCCTATCGAGTTACATATGATAAAAGTACTTTTGTGGAGGAAAGTGAGCTTGTCAATATTGATGAGTCTGAAAAACTAGATACACTCTGTAAGCTCTTTGAGTCTGTTTCATTTGAAGCTCTGAAAGATCTGTATGAAAGATGTAACAAAGACATAGACTGGGCCACAGGTCTGCTGTTAGACTCTGATGAAAAGTTACGTAAAGCTGTTGATACTGAAAGCTTTCAGGTAACCGAAGCTGGGCCAGTGGTCGCAGACCTTGATTTAAAGGCAAATATAAACTATGATGAGAATCTCAAAGACTGCAAACAAACCCCACAAGTACTTGGGGCTGGTGATACCTTTGAGACTTTAGAAGGCAAGGACTCATCACTCAGCATTGCAGAAAGTAGGGCTGCCAAGACAGCTGTGACAAGTGCTGGTGTTTCTGACTCGTTCACTGCTACCTCATTGGATAATTCAGTGGAACTGAAAAATTCTGTGGATTCAGCCCCTAGAACTAACACAAGCAACTCAGCAGCAGGTGTCATTGAGCTGTCTGTTTCAGGAAAGCAGAAGGGAGGGAGTGACAGTCCTCTTAAAGAAACTGTAAATAAGCCATCACTTTTACAACTTGATGCAGGTTTGCCTCATGATCTTAGCACAACTTCTACCAATTTGAAATCTGAATTAAACAAAGAAAGTGACAGTAACCTTTCAGAAAGCAATGACGAATATTCCCAAGGGGCTGGTTTGTTACTGGAAATAGATCGTGCACCTCTTCTTGGTCCTCGGAGCAATAAAGAACTGGAGATGGATAAAGAAACTCAGGAGAATTCTGGGGAGATAGGTGGTAAAGAGGAATTTGACACGCCAAGCTGGGCTGCAACTAAAGCCAAGAGACAAAGCCCTATACCAGCATCACATGCAGCCTTCAGTATAGATTGCCTAGAACTAACATTGCCTCCTGAACTGGCACTCCAGCTGAAAGAGATATTTGGACCTGTTGGCATTGATGCAGGTATGATGTAATTATATACATGTTTTTATGAAAAAAAATTTTAGTAGGAAACCTTTCTTTTCTTTCTTTGCCTGTGCTTTTTTTCCCCTTCATGCTTGATTTTTAGGGAATAGATTCCTGTAATTCTTCATGATAGTGGTGGTTGATATTGTTCATGCAGAAATGAAACTGTACTAAGCATGGCATAAAATACAAGTGCAGTAGTGATACCTTATGCCTTTGTCTTTTTGTACATGCATATACTTCAAAGTAAAAGGAAAATATCTCAGCTTACTTGCATTCTGAGCAACAGGCCTTTGAGCTTATATTCAAACTCTGAAGAGATACTCAGATGATAAGGAATATGCAAATTGTGGCTGATTAGGAAAGAAGGGAAAAAAACCTTTTGGCATCACTTAAATTGGGGAACAAGAAGATGGATGGTTAAGGAAGACGAAGTGTGGCCGTGTACTTAAAAGATGACAACAGACCCGTCTTCTGGCAGATTATGGTTAAGGAAGCCATAACCAGCTTGAACATGCATCTCAAAAGTTAGAGTGATAGAAAAAGGAGAAAAGAAAATAGGAGGAATATACAGCTTGATGTTTTTCTCTCTTTTTTCCCCACACTTTTTCCCTTTTTTTTGTTGTTTCCATCTTTCATCCTGAAGATTGCTTTATGTGAAACCCTGGATACCTGATTTATTGGTGGGTTTGACTGCTGGCCTCTTTGCCTTGCATGACTACCTCCTTAAAAAAAAATTTGTTCTTTATAGCAGAAAAGTGTTTTATTGTGCCTGAAGTATGCCCAGAATTTTCATTTGACGCATATATACTTCTTGTGTTTCTTATTTTTGAAAGGGTGAGAAATACCCTTTTAGGAAAAAGAGCTTTTGTTATAATGCCATGATAATTTCTGCTGTTTCCTTTAGAGTTTGGGGGGGATGCTTGGAGTTTGTTTCTCTGAGTTTGTGTGTTGGAAAGGAGGGATGTGACTGCTCTTGGGCTGTGGTGGGTGTGTTGTACAGAAAAGCAGTTGTCATGTGGATTGCAGTGGAACAGGGAATCACAGTTTTGTGGATGAAGCTGTTGTTTACAATTAACAATGGCTTTGTAAAAGAAGGGTCTGCTAGAAAAACTGAAAACAGGAGGAAAAATATTGTTGTCCAGGTAGTCATATTTCAACAACATGTAGTTAATGTTAACTTGTTTCTTTCCTACCCTTTTAGAGTTTTTGGACACCTGAAAACAATTTCTGTGGAATGAATTTTTTTGTTTAGAAGTTTTTCTCAGGCATGACCAGTTTATGTAGAATCTCTAAAGTTAAAATTCATAAGTCTAGGATACTGTACTTTAAGTGCTTACATAAGTTTTTATAGAATGCTTTAAATGAATATATTCTCTTTGTTCCCCCAGGATCACTAACTGTTGAGGATTGTGTGGTTCATATTGATCTGAATTTGGCAAAAGTGATTCATGAAAAATGGAAAGAATCTATTCTGGTCAGTAGATTTCTTGCTTATGATACATTGTGGCATGCCTGTATTTTTTCAGACCATTTGTCTGCATATGTCTTGGTCTAAAGTGTTATATTTGCAAGAACAGTGATAAAATGTAATAGTAGTTTGTAAAATGTGTGGAGTGTATCAGTATGCCGTAATCATTGGAGCTATTGAAAGATGTTTTAAGGATGTCATGAGTGCCTCATCATGAAAACAAGATTCTTAAAAAAGAAGAATCATAGTGCACAATTTCACTATGAGATTGATGAGGAATTCCACTGGCCAAAAATCCTTATCCTTTTTTTGACCTGTAAAAACAATTCTTTTATGAATTATTCTCTACACAAAACATCTCCACATGCAATAATTGAGATGAGCTCTCTAACCTGTGTTCCTTTACAGCTCTGTGAAACTTGGAATGCCTTTTGGCAAAATTTTCGTTTGGTTTATATAATTAAGGCTGTGAAGTCTTAGCAGTGGGGCATGGTTCTCTGGTTTGATGGGTTTTTAGAAAGATAATTCTAGCTTACAAATTTCACTTCAGAATTATTTTTCCTAACTATATTTCTTTTAAAATACTTAATCTTTGAGAAATATTGTGAGACCTTATTTTGAAACTGCTTAAATTAGAAGCTAATACTTGCAAAGTTTTCCTGCAAAATTAATAACTTATAACATTCATGATTTTACTATTTTTATTTAGAAGCGTCAGAGGAGAGATGAATCATGTAAGTTGTCTGCAGAAGGTATGTCATGTATTTCTTTTAATTGTAAAAATACTTAATGTTCATTATAAAAGTATTTAATTATTTGAAACTTAAGGTTGCAAATACTCCATCCGTTGAAAAATGATGACTTTGTTAGGCTAAATTTCACTGCCTTTGGATCCATTTACCAGTCTCTTATTATGGTGTGGGGGAGGGGAGAGGAGTTAATTATAAGCAGAAGCACTAGTTCCAGATAAAGCCTATAATTTTGTGTCGTTCAGAACACTTTGAGAAGCTCTGGGTGAAGCAGACAGCTGTTTGGTAGGAATTCTCTGTGGCAAGAAAAGGAACAGCCAGAGAATTACTAGCAGAGTAAGATTTCTGCAGGTGAGGAAAGGAGGTCAGGAATACAGCACAAACATGTTGTTTGTCAGAGCTGTTTTTAGCAGGAAGATGGATGCCTTGTTCAAAAAGTGTTAACATCTCTTGCAACCCAGTTTTCATTCTGGTCCCAGAAGAAATGTCCCTCTATGGCAGAACCCCACTGCAGACTTGAACTGCAATGTGGGTGCAAACTAGTGACCAATCCGTGCTGTTGCCATTAACTTGTAGAAGTAGAAAACCAGATTGTTAAGCATCTGTCCTTAAGTTGTAGAAGAAAGGCAGGTAAACATACTAGTTAATAATTCCTTTGTAAAAGCAAACAACCCCCCATTTAATGTATGTGCAGGGTGATTTATAGCTGTAAGATACATCTTAGCACTTGAAAATTTGGTGAGGAAGTCTGATGGTTTTCTTTTGTTTCACAAAATAAATAATGATCAGTCTTTGGAAAATGGAAGTGAAGAAGGTGAAAGCAATGTGATGGTTTCTGTTTTAGCATTAATAATCTTGTTTTAACAAAACTCAAGCTGTATAGGTTGAAAAACTTGTCAATTATTTTGGCATTGCATGTATATGTAACCTAATAAGTGTTTTGTCACCCTACTTTTACTGCTTTTGAATGTCCTACAGTGTTTCAGCAGATAGATGCAGATGACTCAGAAGTGCTGTTACCTCAGAATGAAGACAGCAAAACACAGAAGAAAAAATCGAGCTCGGCTGCAGACACATCTAATGATATACAGACAAAAACCCCAGCAACATCAGACGTTTTTCCATTTATGGATCACTGGAATGCTCAGATTCAGAAAGTTTCTCTCAGGCAAATAATTTCTGAAGAAATAGCGATGCAGGAGAGAGAGGACCTGGTATGGATAGCACCATTTTTTTAATGTAGTTTGGATTCATTACTGTTAGTGAAATAGAGTATGTCTTATTTGGTGACTCATCCCTGTGCTGCTGATTACAGCTTGAATTTCTGAGACAAATGCATGCCAGTTAGTATTTTTGATAACTGTGACACAGGAGTTTGCTTGAGGTAGATGGTTCTGTTTGAAAAATACAGTCTCATTTAGAATATAATATTTTGGTTGTTTCATAAACAGATCATGTTGCATGTCACTATTCAGGTTAGCATTTGTGTTTGGTTGAATTGTTTTTTTGGTTGCTCAGCTAAAACCAAAGATCAGTGTGATCTTCCATGCTTTTTATTGTGACAGCAATATGAAAAAAACTTCTTAGTTGGCTCCATGCCTTGTTTAGAAGTGTACTGAATTGGTTGTAATAATGTAAACATTCCTAACAGATGAGACATTAAAATAAGTACTTGAGGTTAATCTTAAACAAGTTTCTGTACCCATTTCTAAAGTAACTCTTTAATAGATTTTTACTAGTTCTTGGTTTTCCACACAGAATTCCTGTACCCTGCCTGTTTGGCTTGTGCCTGATACTGCCCTCTACTGCCTCACTGATGTTCAGGACAGGCGTTCTTATTTGTAATAGTCTCTGATCAGCAGCTGTCCTAAAGTATAGGAGCTCTGAACTGGTGTAGAAAGTTGTATGAGTTACCCTGTACTTGGAAAACGGCTTGTGGATTCTTTCTTTGAACTGCATGTATGTGGCCTACTGATAACAGCAAGTGTCATGTCCACAGCTCTACTTTCAGTTTGAATTCATGGAGCTTGGCTTTATTTTGACCACTTTTTTCCTTTTTTTTTTTTTTTTTTTTATCTGATTATTGGAACAATCGGTCCAATTGATTCTAAGCTATAATTATGTCAACTTCTCAGATGACTTCACAAGAATATTTATTACAGACATCTTCAGATACATCAAACCAAAATTTTTTATGCTGCTTAATAATAAAGTGTTGTTTGTTTCAACCCCAGGCCCTCAGTACAGAGAAAAGAGGTGGACTTTGCACAAGCTTAGCACTGGACTGAGTGGACTGGCAGGGAATAAATTCCAAAACCTAAATCCCTTCTAAAAATCCTCATTTTACTTTGTCCAAATTATGAGTGAGCTCCAGCTGCATTACCTCAAAAGACTGCAGAGTTACTGCAGTAGTGTATGATACAGTTCACCTGTCCTTACTTTATGCTGATCAGTGTGGCAGGCTGATATGGCACATTGTCATTGCTGTGGGTGCATACTAACTGGCACATTGTCATTGCTCTGGGTGCATACCAACTGAGTAGATACTTTTTAAATCATAACAAATAATGGTAAAGTTGGATTGGCTCCACCTTTACTGTATTTTTTCCTAATGAAGAACTTGTAATATATTTCTTTTGTCTTCTTGGTAGAATCGTGTTCCTTCTACAGCTAGAAAAGACTGTGCTGCTAAACTGAAGGAGAAGCAACTTTTTGAGATGTTTCCAACTATTAATCAAAATTTCTTAATGGATGTCTTCAGGGACAACAAGTAAGAAATCTTTTTACTTCTTTGTAAAAATGGTACTCAGTTACAGTCATAAATATTGAGAGGTTAGATACTGCTAAAGAATGGCTTTTTCCAAAGTAGCACTTTTTGTTAATCTAAATAAAACCTAGCTAGTCTTAAAGGCAAAAAGGGTATAAAAACTCTCAGTTTAGACACGTTTCTTTTTAGGGCAGAATAGACAGTTTCTTTCACTGGGAGAAGAATGTCTCTTGCTATTGACCACTGCCTGACTGTCAGTAGAACTGCATATTTTCTCGAGAGCTGGGCTTTAAATCTAGTGGGAGAAATCAGTGGGTGTGGTAATAGTAGGATTGCAGGAAATGGCATCTGCCCAAGGGGAAAACATGACCATCACCTGTTGTTACTTGTGAGTACTTTCCTGGTTACTACATCTGCTCTGAGGGAATGAGCCATCTCTCTGCCTTCCTGCTGACATTCTCTTTCTCTCTTCTGCATTGTGTTTCTGGGATATATGTCTACCTTCTTAAATCCAAGTTTCTGAGAAGTAAACTTTTTTTCAAGAGAAACATGTTTTTTCATCCTTGGCCGTTTGAATGTCTGTCTCTACATATGGGTTTGCATACCTACTTGTCAGTCATGCTGCTTGTCCAGGTTGTTATAAAAATCTTTCCTGTTTAGAATATATCCTTCATCCATTTTTATAATTCAAACATTTCACCATCTCATTTTTCACATTCGAAATTGTCCTCATAGTGTTGCTTTTTCTAAAATCTGTCTTTACTTTTGATCAGTCTGCTCTTGTTAGCTTACTAAAGAGCAAGAATAAAGAAGAAAAAGGGCCTATTAGAAAGCTGTTGGCAACTGATGACTTACTTAATTAAATTTGATAACAAAGTTTGACTAAAAATACAAGGATTTTCCCTCATTAGGGTTTCAGAAAACTCAGCTAGTATTAAATTAGTTTGAACTATCTAACCCTGACCAGAGAAGATTTAAGATGAACTACCTTACTCAGCCCAAAGAGCAGCATTTATTAATATATCTTTGATTAAGGTAGGATGCAATTTATTTCAGTTCTGTCATTTTCCTTTTAATGTTCAAGTGCCCCTCAGTTAATTTTCAGCTGACCAAGACTGCATGTGTGTGGATGCCAGTAATGCCCTACAAGGAGTCTGCAAGCCTTTCTTTAATAAGCTGGAATATTCCATTCCAGTGTTTATTTTAATTGTGATCTAGTAATGTAACAATATCAATGTTTGCTATAATGCATTTAGGTAAATATAGCAGCTATTAATATATATTTATAAAGTCACAGATTTTATTCATCCTTTTCAGCTACTCTTTAGAACAAACTGAACAGTTTCTGAACTGTGTTCTGGAGGCAGATCCTGTACAAACAGTTATAGCTCAAGAAACTGCTCAGCAAAATGAAGTTGTTTCTTCCTACAGTGCTGCAAAGAACCGTGAGAAGAAGGTATTTATATTTTTTTTAACCATAGTTGCAAACAGCCAAAACTCTGCTAATGAAAACACCCTACAATGCACCCCTAACTTCAACAATGCGAATTCCTACAGGCAAAAAAAAGTAAGGAAGAGGATGATCCTTTATGTGAAATGTTTCAAGACTTTGAGTATCCACAATATGATGATTTAAGAGCAGAAGCTTTTTGTCACCAGCAAAAGAGACAGGAATGTTTGAAAAAGGCTGGAGAAGCCTATCGCATGGGTATGAAACCTGTGGCGGCATTTTATGCACATCAGGTAAACAAAGATGTTGTGCTTTTTGTCTGAACTTAGGGAGGTATTTAAACCCTGAGTTGGAAGTGATAAGGAAAACATTGTGCCTGCTAGAGTTGATGAATTTGGTCACTGTTCCCTGTGTGTTATATTGACAATCACAAGTAAATTTGCTTCCACTGGTAATGATACTGGCACAGGAAGCTAACGTAACCAAATCTGGTGTGAGACCTCATGAAAGGTGATACCTAGTGTTTAGTCACTCATGCTCCTTTGTCTTTGATCTCTCTCACATCATATCACATCCTTGGAAACACCAAGATTTGTGTCCAAGTGGTCTGGCTAGGTTCACTGGAGTGTGACATGGACTGCAACAAACAAAATTTTTTGAATCATCTGTGTATGTTGGTGCTGAACTGTTCTTAGACACATCTTCTGTACTTTATAGGAGTCAGACAGGTGTTAAGATGTCATCTTTTGCCACAGAATCTTGTTTGCTTCATCCTCCATAAATCTTGGGCAAGATTGCTGCCTGCTGTCTTCGCTTCCTCATTCTGACTATCTTTATGGCTACAGTCTGTCTTGGGTTGGGATAAATGAGGTGTGTATGTCATGCTTTTCACGATGCATCTGGTTATGGACTGTAGATCTGCTGCTGATCAGTCTTGCATGCTCTGGTGTTGGGTACAAGCTCTTTGGTCTTGATTCAGGCACATTTTGTAGTATGTACCAGTTGGAGTACTGCTGATCAGTGCTGTTGATCATACTCTTGCTTTTAAGTCTCTTCTTTTCTTGTAATAAAGTTCCTCTACACTGACTTATTGGTGCCTTCACAGGAGACCCCTCCCTTGACATCATGCTTAAAAAATGTGTTACAAAGAGCTTCAAAGACTATAGTTTTCCCCTGATCTAATAGTATATAAAAATTGGGTAAGATTCACATTATAGAAGCATTTAATTCTAAACTTTGAATTGTATTATAACAGAACAAAAATGTAATAATAAATCACTTGAATTTGCTTATTCAAAAGGCTTTCATGCAAGTGGTATAACTCTAAATGTTTAGATTGTTACTGTGCATGTAGGAAGTACAGATTATTATCAATTTTTATAATGAACTTTTTATGGTTTTTATGTGTTGAAGTTTTTGAGACAAAGACTTACAGGATTTTAAATAGAAATGTAATTTCAAGTACTGTCTTACTTTTGTTCTTATCCATAAGAACAAATACAATCTATTGTAAATCTATTGAAATGTGAAATTTATTATTAGATAATAAAAAGGCAAACTAAGCTACCTTTATTAATAAAAAATACTTGCTGCTTGGTGGCCTTTGTCTTGGGAATCCTTTGCAAGTGGGTTACAGAGCTGCTGTCTTGGGTCTGACACTAACACACTTCAGGTGATCCATTTTAAGAAAGTGTAAGACAGATTTTCACTTTTGTTCTCTTGAGCCTTTGTCAGTCCAATACCTGGAGGTCCTTCTTTCCTTTTTAGACTGTGCCTTACAGATCTTCAAGGACAAAATTTGTTGCTTTGATCTCTCGGATATTACCATTGCAAGGTTCATGGGAAGGAGTTGGTACTTGTTCACTCTGTAGTAAGGTGACTAACTGTACTGCTCCTTGCCCTCATTCCAGAAGAGACTTACTGACCTTGTCAGTCATAAAAGATGTCAAAAAGTATTAGGAGAGATGATAGACATTATGATGATGATGATGATGATTATTATTATTATCATTACTATTATTGTTTACCCTTGGCTTGTCTGAAATTTTGGGAATGCATTTGGAAGACTTTAACCTCCAATAACAACAGTCAGCAGTCTTTTCCTAATCTGTTAGGCAGTTTCTCTGACACTGTTTCATTATAATTTTAGCAAAATACTTGCAGGAAATAAAAAATCTCTTGTTAGGAAAATAAATCTGCAACTCACTATGGAATGTAACTTTTTAGCTTATGTACAGACCTTATGACTTTGTGCCTTTTCTGCCTTTTTTTTTTCTCCTTGTAAGGCTTTTGTTATAATGTCTTCTTTGTGCCAGCTTTGAGTAGTTTCTCACAAACAGATTTAATAAAATCTTCTTGTGAGTTGGTCTCACTGAGCATCTTGCAGAAGTTCTGTTAGAATTATAAATTTTACTAGTTCAAACTTGAACTAAAAGCACCCTGCCAGTGCTGTCATTTTGAAACCACTGACCAGTGTGGAGCTTAAATTATTTCTCGGTGTGTAATAGTCACTGTGCTTATGAATAAAGGGTCGCCTTCATGAGCAGAAGATGAAAGAAGCTAACCATGCTGCTGCTGTGCAAATCTTTGAGAGAGTAAATACTTCCTTGCTGCCTATGAATGTGTTGGATTTGCATGGTCTCCATGTGGATGAAGCTGTGAATCAGTTGTCCAGAGTACTGCAGGAAAAAAGTGAAGGTAGGGTTTAGGTAATAATTCTTACCCCTAAAAATGATTCTCATTTTCTGTTAAGAAATCATGATACATGGCAATATTAGAGGGAAATGAATGTGCTTTGATAACACGTATGTTAAAAACAACTAGGCTTTGTGTTGTCTTGTTTTCAAAGTACCCCAGTGGAATTGTTTTTCTCTGACATGACAATGATTCTTGTTGCTTTCTGTCTCATCCCCCTCCCCCTGCTTCTTTGTAAATCTTCTTCCTTGTGTTTTATCCCTTTTTATTACTACTATTGGATATTTGGTCTGTCCTTCATGACATTTTTTACTGCGGTGATGATGCAAACATATGTATCCCTATTGCATTGCTTTGTCACAACTATGTGGCTTTTATAATCTTAAAAGAAAAATTACTACATTGGAATTCTAACAACAGTGATTATGTTGTCTTTAACTTGATTTTATTGTCTTTAACTTCTACATTAAATTGTGAGATTGGAGTTACCTTTCAGAAACTTCTGTATCAGTTTGTTGGCAGCACAGCTTGAGATCAGAATACTGCTGCTTCCAGAAATGTCATTTTATGCAGTTTTGCTTGAGAGCTCATGTTTTCTCGTAGTGGAGAGTTCAAGTACTTCATGAGCATCCATGCTGAAAAAAGATATATTTTCTGCATTGCTAGTTTACCCTCTAAGTTTAAGCACACTGGGAATACTTCTGCAAGGTACTGCCACACAAACCTGATTTTTTGAAGCAGCTACACCACAGAGAATAAATAAAAGTATTCAGTGGGGCTTTAGATAACGCTTGTCTTTCAATATGCATCAGAGATAATTAAATTCCATTATCTTGTGCAATTCCTGCAATGACATTTGTGTAATTTGAACTCTAACCTAATGCTTTTTAGAACTAAATTTCCAGAACTGTACTTAAATCAGGAATGCTGAAATTGTTAGTAGGGGCTCTCTGTTCAATCTATTCACCTAAATCTGAAAAAAAAAAAGAAGTTAATTTCACTGTATATACATGGGAAAAGGATCTACACTGGGAACTTTTATAAAATAAATAAATAAATAAATATAAACCTTAATATATAAAATATAATGCCTAAATGAAGTTACGGTGTGGGGGAGAGTAGTTGAAAAAACACGTCATGTGAACTGATAATTCCAAACTGGCAAATCTTGACTAGTTGTGAGAATCCAGTTTAATTTTTTTTTCCTCTTTTTCAAACTCTTCATCAATTTAGGTTGCTGTTATCTCTGGGAAGAGAACAATTTCTTTTTTTATGAGGGCTAAGTGCCCTAATAAAACTCACGGAATGTGTTGATCTGTTTATTTCCATGCTCCAACATAGCAGAAGATAGTCCAAATAATGTGGCATAAATGTCAAAAGCTGGATTTATATTTTCTTTCTTCTTAATTTCTTTATTCAATTAAATGTTATTTCTTTATTCACATTAATTTAAGATAAACCATGAAACAACACAGAAGCACCACTTAAAAATTCAGTGAATGACACCCACTCCTTTTAATTTTGCAATTTAAATTTATATCACAGAATGTAAATTCCAATTGAATATTAGATGACAGAAACAGTAACGCTTCTATGAAATTGGAAGGATTTTTGTGACGATCACAATATGTATTTTGCAAGCAATCTAGATTTCAAAAGTTTGACTTTTTCAAAATGGGGGGAAATTGCTATTTGTATCTAAAATATGCATATCATCTTGGGAAAACAAAGCTCTAAATGAGTAGTGAGAGTTTTCAGAAGAATGCATGGAAGGCTTATACTGCATGCCAAGTGTCTGCTGAGAAGACTTTAACCGTTGCAATTCCTGCTGTGCAGAGCACCAGCAGAGTGGTGGTAAACCATATCTCACTGTTATCACGGGAAGAGGAAGCCATAGTCAGGGAGGAGTTGCTCGCATCAGACCAGCAGCCATCCGATACCTCACAAGCCACAACTTCAGGTGAGTTTAGATTTTTGTTACTGATAATTTTTTTTTTCTTAACCCACATTTAAATAACTGAAATTTGAAGTTTAGTTTTAGAATGCTGTTAAACTACTACACAGATTAGGACAGGTCTGCTGTTTCAGATTAAATTAAGTCAATTGTTTCACAAATCTGATGCAGTTGTGTAGCACCTATTAAATGTTAGATCCTTTCCTCTGAGATAGTTTAATTCCATATTTCCATTCAAGATTACTAGCTTTACTGTGAAAAGCTGTTAATCCTGCTTTTTATTTGTTCCCAATACTTGCATTTGTGTTCAGTTTAACAGGAATAGCAATTTAGTAAGTCTGGGCTGGCACCAGTGTGTTTGCTGCTTTTTATATAGAGTAGTGTAGGAAGGTGAGACTCAAAAACAGCAATGACTTCCCATTTCCTTCTTGGCTTCTACAAAATAGAAGGAGGAAAATCCATTTTGAAAGAAGAGGGAATGAAAGGGGAACAGGAATAGAGGAACAGAATTAATATAACCAGGAATATTGGGCAGTTTTTGAAAAAACTGCCCAATATGAGAAAATATCTTCATCTTAGTTTCTGCTTTTTCCAGGTCTTCATATCTCCAGACACTGAAAAATCCTCCTTCAGTGTCACATCTGAGGGCATAATACTGATTTCCTGACTCTCACATACACATATACTTCACTGAGGACTTTAGCACTTTCCATATGGTTGATGAGAATTGAAGGTGCTGGCATGGCATATAGTTTACATGTTGAAGCTTCGTTTTTTCTTGTTTCATAGGTTCACAGAAATAAAACCAGGCTGCCTGAAAGTCATGCTGAATTGAGGAGTTGTGGAAAGAGGAATATAGAAACTGAGGTGTCAGATGACCACTGGGTAACAGAAAAAATCCCCCATGTTTTGAACAACTGCACTGGTATTTTTTAGTCTGTTTTAAAGGATGATATTTTATAAGAACTGGTCTCAATTTACAGCAAGTGGATTTGTCAATATGTTTCCAATAAATTTTTGCGTGGAATAGAACCTTTTTTGAACCTGCAAAAGGAAGATACTTAAAAGGATTTGAAGTCTCAGAAATGCAGATTAAGATTTTTGCTGAGAAATAAATGATGTTTTTAACGGAAGTTAAGGTACAGTTTTTAATATAACTGTCTTCTTAGCATACCTAGTCTGCCTTTTGACCCTTGTACATCTTGATTGCTGTGGCTTCTGTACTTCTAAAACATTTTATCTTGTACAAAATTATTTTGTAATTCAGAACTTTGTGCTAAACCCTTCAGAAGAGCAGAAGAGAGGCTGAAACTGAACAACTGCTGGTATTTCAAATCCAGTTACATATGAGTGCTGAGTATTTCCAGATTTCTTTAAAAATCTTGTGTCTTTTTAGTGGCTGTGTTATAATGAGTTGACCAGTTCTGTTATCCTTACTTCATTCTAAACTTCTCCAAATACTGAAGGAAGTTGCATATAAGGCTTGTGCATTAAGGCCAGCTGTGTGTTTGGTAATTTGACAGATTTAGTGTGATCTCTTAAAGGAAAACCACAATGCTGTTATTCAATTTCTTTTGGAGATCCACCTACTGGATTAAAATAGTTTCTTTCTTTGTGGCTTTTTAAGTGCAGCAAATGTTGTTTTACTTTACAAGTGTCTAATAATGGTGTCTTCATTCTCTGTGTATTGTTTGGTGATTTCCTTGTAGAAAATATGATTATGAGACATTTAAAATGTATTTTTAACATCAAAGTGAATGCTAATATTGCAGAAGTAATTGCCTAACTGGAAAATCTGGGAGTACAAAAGTTACTCTGATTTTGGTGGTGTTGCATCAGCATCTAGAAATATCTCTGTAAAAAAACCAAAACAACATAAAAAGATCCCAAACAAAACCCTTCAAAAATTAAATATAAACATCTCCACTTACGCAAGTGTTTCCAGTAAACAATCAGAACACTTTTTTAATAGAAGTATCTTCTAGAATACATCACTATTTTTATTTATATCTTTGCCTCCTGAAAGGTATATGAATTTTTGTTCTACGGCTTTTTCAGAACAGGTGTGAGTTGTGTATTAGGAAGAATATTAATAGATTAAGGATTCATGCGAGGAATTTTTAACCACTTTGCAGTAAATTTTATTGAGGAACTACATGCACATAGAGTTTGTATATGAATCCATATGTGTGTGCAGGTTCTGCAATTTGCATGCATGAGTACTAATAAACGAAGAACTTCTGTGAGAAAAGCTGTCCACAGAAATGGGTTTCACTTGAAAACGTGTCTGTCTAAGTTGCTGACAGGCTGAAAGACATGATGTTTCCTGAATATATCTGTATTTACTCTAATACATACACAGTGACTGATGCACGGTAGACTTAAAAATGAGTTTGTCGTGCTTCAACAGATACAGTAATCTTTTCCTGGTGATTTCAAGTGGAAGAACAGCTTGAGTAATACTTAATCAAAGGGACTCTTTCTATAATAATAGACTGCCATAATAAGTTTTATATTTTTTGTGGGTACTTAGTTCATCTGAATTGTGTCCTTTCTCTGTTTCCTTCTCTCTGCACTGCTCTGGAAATCAGTGAGTGAAACACAAAAGATCTGTTTGGTCCCCAAACAGCACTAACAGAGCTGTTTCTGCCACTGCATGATGTCCTGTGTGAAGCCCACACTCCATCCTCTGTGAGAGTGCCAAAAATGGACTGAGATGCTGTTTAGGCACTCGGCCTCAAGACACTTAATTCAGACTGTCAGCTGTACAGGGTTGCAAATGCTAGAATTCTCTCAGCAGAGCCAAAATCTTGGTTTTGGACCAAGGGACTTTATTCTGTTCCTGAACAGGTTTTTCTTAGTGCTGCTGTTTATAACAAATGGAGTTGCAGGTCTGTGGGACAGCTCTTTGCAGTATAGTCCCTGTTGGTTGGCCGGGGTGGCTGTTGTGTGTTGAGCTGCTTGGGTGCTCAAGCCCTACAAAGATGTGCCTGTAAACAAGGAAGTGCCAACACTTCTGGTTGTTTTGGGAGGCAGCCTGATTCACTCAGCATATTCACACCATTCCTGACATGGACAAAGACAGCTTAGATTTTAGTTCAAAAGACAAGCAGAAAAAGTTGTTGTCTTGCCCATCTGTTCATCATAATCTAGTTGACAACTTTACCCTAGAGATGAGAAACACAGCTTTTTGCCTTCTTCTGGCTTAGCAAGTGGATGATAATGAGTGCACTCGACTCTCACTTCCCCAGAAAATGCTCTGACCGATGTGCTCAGGAATATTTTTGAAGTTGCCACTTCTGAGCCTCTTTCAAAATTACCACTGCACGCTAAAGATGCAAGCTTAAGGGGACAAAAGAGATTAAAGCATTAAAAGTGCATAAACAGTCTCTGGGAGTGGACTAAGACTTTTCAGAAAGAATCTGTTCCTGGTGAGCTTCAGTGTCCTTTCATACTATTTTTTTCATCCTTTAGTCCTATTTGGATAAATACATTAAAAATGTTCAGGGTAAAATCAGCTCTACCCAGTGCTAGAAGAATTTTTCTTCAGTCTGTCAGTCAGCAGAGAAATACACAGCTCAAGAGCAGTTTGGAATACTTTTCTATCTTCACTGGCTTTCATTGGGGTGCAGGCTGAGGTTCATGAACATACTCTGAATGCCCTGCCTGGGGTAGATTGGTCATTTGCCTAGCCTGCGTTGTTTGACTACCAGCTAAACTTCCATGGAGATGATGGCTTAAAATCATAACACTGGCAGAACCAATCTTGCCTCTGTCAGCTTCAGCTGCTCAAAATGAGGCATTGCAGTTCTGACTCAGAGAAAATGTAATGATCCTCTGAAAGATCTCAAGCATTGCTTAAAAGCTGTGCTGAGCTGGATACAGAATAGGTCCGAAGATCAGTGCACAGAGTAATAATGAGTAAAGTTTTATCAGTAAGGATCTCCATGCCTTCAACTACTTGCCAGTATTCCAGAAAAGCAACACTGAAGTTCCTGTATTTCACTGAATGATTTTATAATGTATTCTGGGATTAATTCTTTGAAATATAATTATTTCAAAATGGTATTTCAAAGTAGGATATATTGTAGAAGTTCCAGCTATTCAGATGTCTCTTGCAGTGAGAATCCATCAGAAACCTGAGGTATCGTGTAAATTCTGTATCATCTTAAAATTGAAATAGCAGTATTGCCACCAGCACTCTGAAATAATGTACAGCTGTTTGTGTAGCACTTTCTATTCTATTCTTCAACAGCATGTGATGGTGATGAATGGTAGCCTTTAATATGTGACTTTTTGTGTCTTCTTTTTCAAAACTTTTTCATAGCTATCCCAAGTTTTAATTTAGGAAAATTACCATTTTTAATATACAAAATTAATACTTGTGCTAACATTGATGAGTGATCTTAGAGTAAAAAAAAAAAAAAAAACCAAACAAAAAGGCCAGAGGTGCAATGAGGAAAGTTGTCTGAAGTAATGTGACAGTTGAAAACCATTTCAGTTGAATGTAAAAGTAGTAGGGCAAACATTTATTTTTTTAAAATATTTCAGGATACCTTGACAATACTTAATGACTTTGGATTTTGCTTTTAATATCATGTGGTGCATCCCCCCTCAAAACCCAACCAAAGCCCAACTGTTCATGCTATTTCAGCTAAATAAACTCTGCAGAGGATTAAATGAGTATATGTGAATATGCATGTGAAAACACCTAGTACTGCAGCTACCAATTGTAAAAGCTGTTAGGACCAGTACATTGGAAGATACAAATTTCTATTTTTAAATTAAAATAAAAAATGATTTTTTTATTTGTATAAAGTTGTACTTTTGCTGTTAACTATAATTTTGTTTTTTACTGAAATAGTTTTATAATTTGCATTTAGAATTTCTAATATTAAATGGAATTTACAGAATCTAGTTTAATAAAGGATTTTTGTCACAAGTATAGCCTTCTGTCTTTCCTTGGAAAACTATGTTACAGCTTGTATCAAATTTTTTCAAATAGTAGTCTTGGAGTTCTTCACGAAAGCCACTTGCTTGGCTTCAGGATACCATCTGTAAGGAGATGAAGCAACCATCTGCAAGCATAAAAAGGAACAGATTTGCGGCCTGAATTTCAGCGTTGTGAGTGCGAGCTGAATGCTCAAATTACTGAAAACGAGGGTCATGGCTTCAGATTTTTTTTTTTGGCCTGAAGTAGCTGAAGAGATGCTATTCCAGGCTGGCTTACTCATGGCAGAGTGAGAGCTGTAGTGTCCAGCAAGGGGAGAGGTGGTCTGACCGCTGCAACAATGTGGGTTTGGGGGAGGGAAATGTTCTGCAGGGGCCTCATTTAGCAGGAGCCCGTAGGTCAAGGGCAGTGAGAGGCTGATCCTGAAGGAGCCCAATGCTGTACCGTGGTGGATACAGAGCTAGGAAGCCTGGCTTTTCCCAAGCCTGCCCTGTTCTGGTCAGGTGCAGGTATTTTCCTGTGTATTGTGCTGGAAGTGTGGAATGACAACACAGACAAAAGTGCTGACTGGAGTCTAACCTATTTTATTAGCTCAATTTGAGGACAACTTGCTGTGACCCAAGATGACTCCTGCAGAATCGTTCCCATGGCTTCATTTCCTTGCAGCTTGGGTTGACTGCAGAAACAAGTCAGGCTTGTGCATTTCCACAGCAAAACCCTAACTCATAAGCTGATCAAGAGAGCAGGGAAAACAGGTTTGGGAAGCCGTGGAAGCTTGGCAGATGCTGGTTTAAATGTGACGTGGCTGATCCTGAGCCTAGACCACAGCATTGGTAAATGTCTCGTTGGTTGTGTGCTCCTTACTTTCAGAACTCTGTGCTCTAGCAGTGTGGTTGAAGGTCCAGCTTGGGCATTAGTCTCTCAAATTGGTGTTTTAAAGTGGAGGTACCACTGCTGGACATGCCCTCTGTCTTGAGGCAGCTTAACTCCTACCCTTGCTAAAACATTCCATCCTGACTCCCCAGTTTCTGTTTCAGTTCATGCCTTCTTTTTTGTTCCCTGGGCGCTGGGATAGTCTTGAGCACCTCTGCTTCCAGATGGGAGTTTGTTCTTCCAAAGCAACCCTATGCACTTCTGAGAGTCTGTCTCCCTATTTAAATAAGAGTAATAGGGTATTGTAGTCTGTCCTTACTTAGGAAAATTATTCGAACTTTAGGACTGAAAGCTGTACTGTGGTAAAATAAAAATTTTGGTTGAGATAAACAGTTTGTCAGCTCAAACTATTAAAGCATAATTAAGTGTCTGCTGGTGGAACGTGTCAGGTAGCCTGACAATAGGTGGTGCCCTTGCCAATGGCATGGAGTGATGGTGGCAGCAGTTCTTGCTGTGCCCCTACTAGAGCAGAGTTGTTTCTCTGTATGACAGGTGCTAAAGGATGTTATTACACAATCACGTGCTGTTCATTTGTTCCTCAGAGGGAGATACTGTATTTGGAGTATTATTTTGGTGAATTTTTTTCTTCTTTACAGATGGGTGGGGTAGAGTTGGTTTTCAAAATACACTTGCTGCTCTGGGGCAGAGATGCGCAAGACGAGTTCATTTTTGCACACAGGTTTGAAGATGGTAGTGTCAAGGTTTCTCCATCAGCTACCCTGGGTTAGTTTTTGCAGGTTGGATGCTTGGACACATCAGTCTGCTTGGAAACTGACATAAAGGGATTGTGCTGTTGGTGAAGTTCTGTGCCACTGTGGATATTACTGGTGGCACAATCTTCTTGAAAACCATGATGGGGAAGGTCCCCCTTAATGTTTCTTGATTTTGCATCTTGGGGCCTGGCTGGGCTAGCAGTGGCTTCTCATTAGTTGCCACTTATTGGTAAGCAGCTGCAAGGATCAGTGTTATATTTTTATTATCTTGAGAAACAGCACTCTCCTTCATAGACATCTGTGGCTAGTCATGCACACTGACCAGGAGAGCAAGCAGTGGAAATTCTCTGCCAGAGCCACAGATTTAATCAGTTTGGTCTGCAAATGGGGAAGTGGTAGCCCAGTGAAGTTGGTGTGTGGGAGCTCTCCATAATAGTGTTTGCTCCATGTCAGCTAACTCACAAGGCATTGCCTTGGATTCGTGTCTTGAAATCAGAGTAAAAGTAGGCTTTTTCACCTTCTTGCCTTTCCAGATTATCTCCTTTTACTGTCTTGCAGTGCCATATAGACAGGTTTGGGCATTTATCAAGATAAACATGTAAAGTAGCTACTCTGATAGGCTGTAGACAGCAGAACATCTTTGGAGGTGATGCCCTCTGGCTGGCAGGGGGCTTCCCTTTGGGAGCAGGTCAGGGCACCTATGTCAGGCTTCTGTTCTGAGTCTTCTTTTGGGGTAACATCTCCATGTTAATGGACTAGAAAGGAGAAACTACCTGGGGAACCAGAGCCTGAGACTGAGCAGTGGAACTCCCTGTCTCCTTCGAAGCAGGAGCAAATGGCAAAAGCACGTTCAAAAGTAAACCAGCTGCTGCCTTCAGATTGCTGAATTTCCCAAGGGGAACCTCCGTGGCCTCTCCCATAGCTGGGACAGGAGGCCTGGTTTGCTTTCTTTCCTGACAAGATGAATGTAGTCAGCAGCACCAACGGGGCAGGGCAAGGCCGCGGGTGTGGGCCTGGGGCTGGAGCAGGCACTGGGGAGCAAGGAGCAGGGCGTCTGCTCCCTCTGTGGGTGCCGGGGCAGTGCGTGCTTTGCGATTCCGCCACCGGCACCGCGCGGGGGCTGCGGGAGCAGGGAAGGGGGAGCCCCGGGGCGGCTGCAGCGAGGCTGCTGAGGGAAGAAGCTCCCTCCACCACCTCCCTGCTGGGACACAGCCAAGCTCGGCGTCTCCCGGGCAGAGCCAAAGGAGGAGCCAGCTTTTCCCTCGGCGTTGGCTCCCGGCGGCGCCGGGAGCACCTTGGCGGCTCGGAGCCCTGGGCCGGGCCGCGGGCTCGCCCCGCAGCCTCAGGTGGGGGGTGGTTTCACGGAGAAAACAACTAGCGCCTCCTTCACGCTTACAGCAAAGCCACTGGCGTTAGTTTTGCATTAGATCCACGTGGGGGAAAGAAGTGTGAATGTCCCCCCGGGAGAGAGAAAATGGCAAAAGTCAGAGAGTTTAGAGAAACAGATGTGGGTTTGCACGTTCTGCACGTTGTCCCTTTGAAAATATAAGGAAAAAAAAATTAATTAGACTCTTTTAAAACGGAATAAGCACACATTTTATGTGTTGTTTATATCTCTAGTGCTAGACATAAGCAGCTATTAGCTTTTTTTAAATGATGATCATCTAGGACAGGAGAAAGGCTTGTAGCGTTAAATACAGTCAGTATCAAGATTTACTTCCAGAGCATTCACACACCATACCCTCTGAGCCAGACCAGAGCTGAGCAAATCTGAGAACAAAAAGGAAATCAGACAGGGGGGACAGGAGCAGCTTCTGACAGTCACAGAGGTCTGCTCTTAGCCCCACATCTGCTCCATGAGGTAGCAAATGTCCTCCCAGAGTGCCAACAAAAAAAAAAAATGTAACCAGGCAAACACAGAAAGAATATTTTTCCTTCAGTAGGGCAGATGGGTATTTTGGAAATAGTACCTGATTTGGGGGAAAAAGATTGAGTTAGTTATTAGACACTGGAACATGTTGCCAGGGAGGCTGTTGGACACCCCAAGACTGGCATTGTTCAAAGCCAGGTTGGATAAGGCCTGGAGCAGGCTGGTCTAGTGGGAAGTGTCCCTGCCTATGGCCTGGGAGGCTGGGACTGGATGATCTTTAAGGTCCATTCTAACCCTTAAACATTCCATGATTATATGACGTGACTGCTTTTATGCTAGGCTTTCTCAGAATGAGAGGTGGGGGAGTTAAGTAACCCTCAGTTCCTAAGCACGCTTCGCTTTCAAGAAAAACATTCCATGATTATATGACGTGACTGCTTTTATGCTAGGCTTTCTCAGAATGAGAGATGGGGGAGTTAAGTAACCCTCAATGCAGTTCCTAAGCATGCTTCGCTTTCAAGAAAGGGGATGTAGGTTTTCATGTCACTCTGGAGGAAATCACTTCCCGTATATTGTCCACCAGTTCCGTGCTGACGTCACAGGAGGAATTGTGTTAGGAAGTTAGGACACCAGAGTCTGTCTATCAGATTCCAAGAAAACACTCAGTATGTAAATGTTAGTTTTGTCATATAGCCCATGTTGCTGACAACCTGATCTCAAGAGAACTATCCCAGAGAAATAACTAATTAGTAACCTCTACACAGTGGGGAAACATGAAAGTAATAAAGAATAGTTGAGATAGCAGAAAACTGTGGTCTCAGAAAGTGGGGAAATCTCTGCCTGCCTTCCCTCAGAAGTGTATGGGTTTAATGCATGGAGCTCCATGCATTTCAGTCTTGATCAGTCTTGAAAAGAGGCTGGATGAATGGAGACGACCGCACCCAAATCTTGGTGCCAAACCCAAGTTTGATCATTGTTTGCACAACTCAGGGTTTTCTGTTTTGGTCCTGAGAGGTCTGTGCTGCTCAGGCATGCCCAGATCTGAGTTGCTGTGCGCCTTGTATCCATCTCAGCACTGCGCCCAGAAACTGGGAAGCTCA